TTCGTAAGAAATAGAAAAAAAAAAGGTTTATATTGGTTAAGAAGAACACTTATATACTGATATATACGTTACGTATTAATGAACTCATTGTCATTTTGTCAAAACCTCACTGAACTGGCCGCACTTACCTGCGGGAGAAGTCATTCCGATGTCATTTCAAATTACACTGGTCCGAGTAATGAAGGAGACAAGCTCTCATTTAATTATCTATGGCATGACATTCTCCTATTTAACAAAATATTTACAGATTGACAATAAATGTATGAAAAGTCGACCTACCCTATCTATATTTTTTTATATTTTGTACCAGAAAAGCTCAACAGGAGGTGCCAGTAAACTTTTTTCTCGCTCAACCATTTGGTTGAGATTTGATGGTTAACAAGGCGTGGGAAAACGCCTTAAAAAAAGTCAGGAATATGGCAGTTGTTTTTCACTTATTCTGGTAATTGATTTTATTTTGTCAGTTTTAATGGACTTCCTCTTTGTGAATTTGCCTTGGAGTTGGCATTTTTTGTTATACTTTTTAACATTTCCCATTCATTCAATAACATTCCTTGCTAGCTAAAGGGATCAACTTATTACTGTTAAAAGATTTTAAAAATCTGACGTGATTATAATTAACTTAAAAAGTGGTAGGGCAATCCGAGAACAAATGTACAAAAATGGCTGTGTTTACATCTCGAAAACATCTATGCGTACAGACAAACCTGCGCAGTTTTAAGTTTTAAAGCCTTGCATTCACCAGTTATTTACTAGTTGAATGCATATTTTGTTTCAAAAAAAAATTTCACCAAATGTAACAATTTTTGCACTGTATTGATTAATGTGAACAATAGAATGACAATTGATATGCTCATATCAATAGGTGATTGTAATAGTGTACCTGAATGGACGGTATCAAAAGAATTTCGGTGTTTGTTTATTTAACCATCTTCTGGGAACAAAATGCTAATCAAAATAAAAAAAAAAGATTTTATCTTTCTGAAACAAAACATGCATTTATATATCTAATGGATGCTAGACCTTGAAATTTTCCCAACTGCACTAGTTTGTCTGTATTTAGAGTAGTTTTCAAGGTGTAAACAGTCATTTTTCTCCATTTGTAATGCACCTTAGAATTACACTTTAAAAAACATTTTGTTAAGAGAAACACGCATTAAAAAGAGTTCTCAAACTGTACTTACTTTTCTTGTCTGTGTTCCATTTGTAATCCGTTATTATCCAATGCATACCAATTGCATTATAGTAGTATACGCACTAATTATCGAACGGGTGAAGGTTGTAAATTAAACCATCGAGGTGTTCTTTATAAACGAGTATGAACTTTAAATGAATAAATATTCGAATTACGACGTCAAAAGTTGTATGCCTTTCATATTAACCATTTTTTATAAATAAATTGTTCTTAGAAACATTACATTACATTGAAGACTTTCCATACACTCTTTAGGTTTTGTTTTATTTCTGTATTACAATGACTTTCAATATGTATATATCAACTTTTATGTACATTAAATCAAGATTTTGAATAAATCAATCTATTTTTAAAGTCGACCTATATAACATGTTGTCAAGGTTTATATCTATCCACAGTTCGTCTACATTTCACAATATCTATTCAGATATAAAGAATAGATGATAAAAGTATTTACAAATACAAAGATACATATCTTTTGCACGCTTTAATGCCTTTTTAGCACATAATACATACAAGTTTGCCAGTCACCATCATAAATTAATTGTGCGATACGATGTGTATGTGCCTCAACTTACTAGCGACATATTATCGTGGTCTTAGATCTTTAGATACCAGTATCGTCGTCTGGACTGTCACTTTTCCAAGTGTGTCCTATTTCCTGCTGTGATATTTTGATGGAATGTGGATTTGCATTGCAATGTATATCAATACACCGGATTTCCAATCTTTGAGTTATTACCTTGATTTGTTGAGATCGATTTACACAAAAAAAAAATAGTAAAAATTATTCGAATTAAATGTATCAATCTATTTCTTTAGTTTATTCTGAAGCTTTGACCCATAATCTAAAATGAAAGACCTAACGAATTACGACGTCAAATATAAATAAACTAATAAGAGATACCAGGTTTAAAATTTTGTACGCCAGAAGCGCGTTTTTCGTCTACATAAGACCCCAAATCAAAAAAATTAAAAAGGCAAAATAAAGTATGAAGTTGAAGAGCATTAAGGACCCAAAATTCTGAAAATTGGAATTAATGTTTGCAATTTCATGTGAAGAAATTATTGTACTTTATATAAACATTGCATTCTATAGAAAACCTTCTTTTTTTAAACAATCTTGACAACAGTTTTTTTTTGTATTATAAATTTTTTTAATATAAACATATCGTTGTGTGAAAGAACAATGAATTAAAGGTATATCTATTCAGATTTTCAAAAATAAATATAAACTTTTTTTTTCTAATTTATCTTAGTAATCAAGTTTCGTGGCCCTAATTGTGACACAGGGTATCTCAACATAAAAATATGGATACAGACGTCAGGATTGTTTTTTAAAACCAACACCAACTTATATATTGAGGGGTTGATGCCAAATAATCTCAGTGAAAATGAGATGTGTCCCAATAAACTGACCTAATCACAAGGTAATTAATTGTTGACGACGATAACTCAGCATCAAATTTTTAGGACATATAATTACGAAAAATGGACATTAAAGTTGACCCAGAAAATGCAAACAAATAAAACAAATAACAATAAAACAAAATAAGGTAAGAAATTCAAACATCTGCAAATCTGAAAAGGGAAGGTCCGGTAAGGGCTTATTTTGGCCTAAAATTTGAAGTACATCTAATGAAAGATTGTTGACATTTTTTAAACACTTCAATGTCGTCTTCAGTTGATTCAATTAGTTTATGTAAGAGATTTCAACTGATTTGGTCCTTCATGACGCTTTAATTCAAGCTTAAATATGAAAAATCTATCAAATATGCTACAAAACGACACTTTTCCGATGATTTTTGTCTAAAATGAAAGTGGCCACATTCATGTTCAGTCTCAACAACATATATTAAGACTGAACACAAGTGCAGCCACTTATATTGTAGACAAAAACCACTGCCTAAAAATAAGCACAAATGCTAAAATTGTGAAGATTTCAGTTAATTTTGCATGAATTAATGCATATGCATTATATTGTCAAAAACAGTCGATATTTATGTAACAAAAGTATTCTTCTTTCCAACAAAATGCTTAAAGTTTACACAATTTTAACAAATTTTTGTAAAATGCTCTATTTAGGGGCCAAAATGGGGTCGTAATGGGCCTACTCCTTTCCCATGTTCCTCGATTTTTTTACTACATACATTGCTTTAAATATGGCAAATGGCACAAACTATATGCCGTTAAAACATAACAACCAGAATATATTTTTTTTTAATTAGTGGTTATATCTTATTTATTTGGGAACACGTTTTTTTAGCATTTTTGTCGATTTTCCATGGGGTAGGAGTGTATATTTCAATTGTGAGAGGAATTATGAACAGCAAAGCTGAAAACCTGATAAGTAAGAAAGCAAATATCCTTGCCTTTCGTTTGATATCATACTTGAAAATGTATTAAACTCTTGCATATTGAAAGAAATTATCAAAAGTATGGTGATGTATTCCCAGTACCTTATATTGGCTATTTTTAGTTTAGCAGCCATATTGCATTTTTTTTCGTGGCTCAATCCATATCAAAAAATGTTATAACAATATGCAAAGTTTAATGCTTTTACCATGAAGTGATCAATTCTGCCTATAAACTGGACTTAGCTAATAGACTAAAAGTTTCTCTCTAATTCTTATTTTAATTGCTTTAAAAATATTTAAAATATATGTATCAATCAACTACAATAAAAAATATGTCTGATTTGAAACATTCAATATTCCAAAATTATATGTCATAAATATAAGTATTTAACAAAAATTCACCTGCAACAGAAAAATTAAATAGATCATTCATTTCTTAAAAATCATAATGGAGCCATAATACTTTTCCTGAAAGGAGGAAACATTTAATTTTTATAAATGAACAGTTCCAATGTCCTCCACGTTGCACATATTTTATCTATCTAAGGTACAAGGGCAATAACTAAAAAAGGCATACTTTTTGTTATTCAAATCTTTTATTAACATCTTATATATATATAATTAGAGAAATGAAGGCTTCAGAGCAAATGCAATGTGATTTCCATTATAATCACTATTTCATCAGAACTTGTTTTATTTTGCAAAGTCAAAGACATTGCTGATATAAACCAATGATATAAGTTTCAAAAAATTCTGGTAAGAATTGACCATTTGAGAGCACTCACAAGGCAATTTTCCATATAATCAATATTTCAACGGGCCATAAATCTTTTAAAAATAATTGATCAGCACTGATTTTTAGACTGTCAAAGACTATGATGATATAAATTTCATAAATACCTGGCAAGAATTAATCACATTAGAGTACTCATAAGGCAATTTTTCATATAATTAATATTTCCAAGGGGCATAACACTTTTATAAATTATTGATCAGCACTGTTTTTCGAACTCGTCAAAGACATTGCTAATATAAACCTATGATATAAATTTCATAAAAACCTTGCAAGAATTGAACAAATAAGACCACTAACGATAAAATTTTCTATATAATTAATGTATCCAAAGGGCATAACTCTTTTAAAAATAATTGATCAGCACTGATTTTCAAACTCGTCCAAGACTTTGATGATATAAACCTATAATATAAGTTTCATAAAAATCTGGCAAGAATTGTACACGTCAGAACGCTAACTAGACCGAATGTGACTCACAAATGTATGACAGACAGGTGGACAAATGGACGCACAGTATTTCTATGTCCCCCGCAACGCCTTGCACAGGGGACAATTAAAACTTGTACTTGTGGTTTGTATACAAGCCACTTGAATTTATAGTAAACCATTACTCGCAAAATGAAAATGCACAAAAAATAATAATAATAATAAATTAATGGCATATAATCAAATTTTAATTGCATTCAAAACGACAGGTTAATCACAAATCAAAGATTTAACCTTCTACAATTACGTCTGGAAAGGTAGGCAACATAGATCTTTGTTATTTTAGTTCTTTTAGAAAAGAGAGAGAGAAGATACCAAAGAGGCATTTGAAAAAAAACAATAAAAAAAGACAACAACATGTCCTAAAATAAGAACAAATAAAGAACAAACAACAATAACAAATTATACATTACATTGTTAACTAAATTCAATTCTTAGTTACATCCATTATATCTATACATTATATTTTTCCTATCCAAAAATAGCATTTCTAATGGACTTTTTATTAATCTATAATAGTTTCAAAATAATCGACAAAACACCCAAACATTGTCATTTAATCAGTTAGTTGGCGTGGTTAAAGTTCCACACAACAACTTAATGGTGGACGGACAGTCTTATCATTTAAATGTAATAACTCCTGTAAGTATTCATCAAATGATTTTGGTCATATTAGCACTACTTTAGAACTAATATTGCTGATAATTTTTTCCAGTTTTTTAGTTTCAAAGCTATCTATTACAGTTGTTTGACAAAATAATCAGTAACAAGCAAATTGGTAAACAAGAGTGCACACGCTGAAATGTCTCGCCTTCTTTACTAATCATTGATATTATGTTGATAGTCCTAAATATAAAGCTTTATTACAACAGTCACATAAACTTAACATTAACCAAGTAAACTAAACATTGACCAATGAACCATGAAAATGAGGTCAAGGTCAGATGACCCATGCTAGGCAGGCATGTACAGCTAACAATTCTTCCATACAACAAATAGAGTTGACCTATTGCTTATAGTTTAAGAAAAACAGACCAAAACACAAAAACTTAACACTGAGCAATGAACCTTGAAAATGAGGTCAAGGTCAAATAAAACCTGCGTGACTGCCAAATAGATCATAAAATATTTCCATACACCAAATATAGTTGAACTATTGCATACAGTATAAGAAAAACAGACCAAAACACAAAAACTTAACTATAACCACTGAACCATGAAAATGAGGTCAAGGTCAGATGACACCTGCCAGTTGGACATGTACACCTTACAGTCTTCCATACACCGAATATACTAGACCTATTGCTTATAGTATCTGAGATATGGACTTGACCACCAAAACTTAACCTTGTTCATTGATCCATGAAATGAGGTCGAGGTCAAGTGAAAACTGTCTGACGGGCATGAGGACCTTGCAAGGTACGCACATACCAAATATAGTTGAACTATTGCACATAGTATTAGAAAAAAAGACCAAAACTCAAAAACTTAACTTTGACCACTGAACCATGAAAATGAGGTCAAGGTCAGATGACACCTGCCCGCTAGACATGTACACCTGACAATCATTCCATACACCAAATATAGTAGACCTATGGCATACAGTATAAGAAAAACAGACCAAAACACAAAAACTTAACTATAACCACTGAACCATGAAAATGAGGTCAAGGTCAGATGACACCTTCCAGTTGGACATGTACACCTTACAGTCCTTCCATACACCGAATATACTAGACCTATTGCTTATAGTATCTGAGATATGGACTTGACCACCAAAACTTAACCTTGTTCATTGATCCATGAAATGAGGTCGAGGTCAAGTGAAAACTGTCTGACGGGCATGAGGACCTTGCAAGGTACGCACATACCAAATAAAGTTGAACTATTGCACATAGTATTAGAAAAAAAGACCAAAACTCAAAAACTTAACTTTGACCACTGAACCATGAAAATGAGGTCAAGGTCAAATGACACCTGCCCGCTAGACATGTACACCTTACAATCATTCCATACACCAAATATAGTAGACCTATGGCATACAGTATAAGAAAAACAGACCAAAACACAAAAACTTAACTATAACCACTGAACCATGAAAATGAGGTCAAGGTCAGATGACACCTGCCAGTTGGACATGTACACCTTACAGTCCTTCCATACACCGAATATACTAGACCTATTGCTTATAGTATCTGAGATATGGACTTGACCACCAAAACTTAACCTTGTTCACTGATCCATGAAATGAGGTCGAGGTCAAGTGAAAACTGTCTGACGGGCATGAGGACCTTGCAAGGTACGCACATACCAAATATAGTTATCCTATTACTTATAATAAGAGAGAATCTAACATTACAAAAAATCTTAACTTTTTTTTCAAGTAGTCACTGAACCATGAAAATGAGGTCAAGGACATTGGACATGTGACTGAAGGAAACTTCGTAACATGAGGCATCCATATACAAAGTATGAAGCATCCAGACCTTCCACCTTCTAAAATATAAAGCTTTTAAGAAGTTAGCTAACGCCGCCGCCGCCGCCGCCGCCGCCGCCGGATCACTATCCCTATGTCGAGCTTTCTGCGACAAAAGTCGCAGGCTCGACAAAAATCATCATTTAAAGGCAATAACTACTACAAGAAGTCATTCAATGGTTTTGGTCTAAAGAATTGTTTAGATTCTATATTGCTAATCACTTTTTAACTTTACAATTTTTTCCTAGGTATGACAATTTGTTATACAAAAGGAAAAAAAGTAGTCAACAATCATCAATTAAGGACAATAATTTCTAAGATAAGTCATCTGATAGTTTTGGTGAATTTAGAAAGTAAGACTATTTTCACATTCTGAACATTTCAGTCGCTCTCATTTTCTCGATCTAAAATGGTTATCAAGATACAAGACAATTCATGCATTCACCCTTGTTTTATTTTTTAACATGTTGATTGAAGGACAAGAATAAACAATAATGTGTCCACAGTACACAGATGCCCCACTCCCACAATCATTTTCTACATTCAGTGGACCGTGAAATTGGGGTCAAAACTCTAAATTGGCACTAAAATTAGAAAGATAATATCATAGGGAACATGTGTACTAAGTTTCAAATTGATTGGACTTCAACTTCATCAAAAGCTACCTTGACCAAAAACTTTAACCTGAAGCGGGACAGACGACAGAACGAACTGATGTACAGACCAAAAAACATAATGACCATAAATGAGGCATAAAAAACACATACATCGTACTAGATTCCTTAAAGATCATATAACCCAAGTCTGGTGAAATTGGTCTGACAACATGTTACAGAGGAAACGATTTTTTTTTTTTTTTAAGTTAAAAGACTACAGAGTCCAAGTGATCGCAGTAGCTCACTATAGAGCCAGGTGAGCAAAAAATAATCACTTTGTACAATATTCAAAAAAGAAAATAAAAGAGACCTAAATATTAAATTTTGACTAGTCATTCAAACAACTTTGGTCAAATCTTTAGACATTATCAAAATGTTAGTCATAATATGATGCTTACAAAAGTATCACAGCAAGTTATTGGATGAAACATCTATTAAAATAGGAAATCAAATAAATAAAAAAAAATGAACAATATAAACAACTATTAATTCAAGTAAAACAGAACTTAGAACAAAACAATACAATATTAGTACTTTAACAAATGGTTCACTTATATTTACATAATATCTGATATCCTTTTTGGTAAATACATATATACATGTCTTTAGTTAGCTGTTATTCTTATGAATACTAAAAAAAATCATTCTCTTTTAAGAACTAGTTTGTTACCAATATTCAGCATGTTCCTATTCTATACTATTCTATAGGAGTTGTAAAATGTATCAATTATTATCAATAGATGAAATATTTAGTAACATGACTATGTTTCCATGTGACACCCTGCCTTGCTTGCTTGCACTATTATCTGATTATGTGAAATCAGTGTTAGTGTTATTTGTCATATATATATTCACAGTTCACCTCACAATTAACAAGTGGACTAAGTTTCAAGCTTATATTTCCAAAGATTCTTGGTAAACTACCTTTACAAAACATTTATCCTGAGACTGTACTTATTTCTCACTATCACATTTCTGTGTTCAGTGAACTGTGTAATTGAGGTCAAAACCATAATATGACACATAATTTTAATAGTTCACAATATAATGAACATGTGTACTACGTTTCATTCTATTGAAGTATCAGAACCTGGAATGTTGTACAAGGTTTTAGTTTTCGATGTTTCATCTTGCATTCAGTTGATGTCAGATTCAATCTGTGATCAAATATTTTCCTTAGATCTGACAAAAAATTGGTTCTCCATTACTAACAGAAAATGTGTTAAAGGATTTATCAAACAGTCCTCCTTAACTCAAATGACTACGCCATTTCAGTATTATTTGAATAAAAGGGACATTTTAAGTAGTTATTCAAACAGTTCAAGATGTTCATAATCCAGAGTTTTTCGAAGAGACAACTTTACTTAAAAAACTATTTAGTACTAATGGATTTTTTGTTGGATATCAGACACTTTTGAATGCAATTGAATATGTTTTATATCACAGTAGGCCTTATCTTGAATAATTTAATATTAAAAAGGGGCTAAAATCTTTAAAATGGTCACTTGATTTACTCAAAAGTAAATTGACTTTTACCAAAATTTGAAAATACCGATTGAAGAATTACATCATACAGAAAAAAAAAAGAATGGTTTTTACAAACCCATGTACAATGTAGTAGTTTTCAATTATATTCTATGTATTTTTGAATTCATGCCTTTAAAACAGAAATGCATTTAAACTGAGATTTTTTATCACCTTTTTAAAACATATAAAGTAACAATACATTTTATATAGAACATCAGCAGATCATTTTTTTCAGATAAGGCTTATACTCTTTTAATATATATTCTACAGTAGAGAAGAAGGCATATATGGGAAGGTTATTGTGAAAGCTTTCCATTACTATTTGTTTACTAAATATGCTATTTCATAGCATTTATAAACTCTCTAAATTTGCTTTTTGATCAGTATGTACTATTTATTCTTATTCTTCCACAAGCAAATTCCATCTAGAACTGGTCTTTATTGTCAATCCCAAAATTATTTGCACTTCCTGTTCATGCAAAAGCATAACCTTGGTTACCACACTGTAAAGCTACCATCAGTCTGTTATGTAACTCAGTCTTTGATTTATATTCTGGTATTTTCAGCATGTTGATACTATAAAAACAATAAAGATTTTTCTTGTGCAATGTAGTTGTGTATTCTCTTATAACATAAAAGTAAAAAAATATATATATAAGATAAATGTGTGCGAAAGAATCCATCTCAAGGATGGCATGCAATGCCAAGAAAATACCTAAACATTTTTATGCTTTATTAGTGGAACATGATGCTATAATGCTTGAAGCAATGCCAACTGAAAGTAGGTTTTTTTTCTAATACATGTAGATTGTGTTATGGTTGGTGGTTTGATAAAATCAGTAAAACAGTCAACTTGTTCATTTACTCTGAGCCTGTTTTCTCTCAAACATTAAAGTGATAACATTATAGTTATAATTTTTTTCCAATGAATCTTAAATATCTGTTAATATTCCTTCTCCATAAGTAAACAGTTGAATGACCTTGGCTATAACTACCCTGTACAAGCCTAAGTGAATAAGAAGACTATTAGGCTGTTAGTTTTCTCATTTGAATTGTTTTACATTTGTGATTTCGGGGTCTTTTATAGCTGACTATGCGGTATGGGCTTTGCTCATTGTTGAAGGCCGTACGGTGAAGTACAGCTGTTAATTTCAGTGTCATTTGGTCTCTTGTGGAGAGTTGTCCCATTGGCAATCATACCATATCTTCTTTTTTATATATACAAAAGAGGAGTGAAATTTCTTACCAAGTACTAGCTGTAGGTAATGTATGTTCTTTATAAGGAACCATAGCAATGGTAAAATGTTGTGGCCCTCCTCCACCAACAAACTTACCAAGTACTAGCTGTAGGTAATGTATGTTCTTTATAAGGAACTATAGCTTTGGTAAAATGTTGTGGCCCTCCTCCACCAAATGCAACAAACTTACCAAGTACTAGCTGTAGATAATGTATGTTCTTTATAAGGAACCATAGCAATGGTAAAATGTTGTGGCCCTCCTCCACCAACAAACTTACCAAGTACTGGCTGTAGGTAATGTATGTGCTTTATAAGGAACTATAGCTATGGTAAAATGTTGTGGCCCTCCTTCACCTAAAAACTTACCAAGTACTGGCTGTAGGTAATGTATGTTCTTTTTAAGGAACTATAGCTATGGTAAAATGTTGTGGCCCTCCTCCACCTAAAAACTTACCAAGTACTAGCTGTAGGTAATGTATGTTCTTTTTAAGGAACTATAGCTATGGTAAAATGTTGTGGCCCTCCTTCACCAACAAACTTACCAAGTACTAGCTGTAGGTAATGTATGTTCTTTATAAGGAACTATAGCTATGGTAAAGTGTTGTGGACCTCCTCCACCAACAAACTTTGCAAAACCTCCAAACGGTACTCGGGAACTGTATTTAAAAATAAAATTGAATAATAATCTTTATTGTCTTAAAGCTTACAAGGAATGAACAAAATACAAATTATATAAAACATATACTGTAGATTCATTTATTTTCTTGGATTAAGAAAAACTTGTATGCTGGTGGATATCTATATTTCGTGGTTTTGTCGAAGTCTAGGTACAGGCTTATGTAGAATATGTAATTGGTTGAACACTTAATTTCGTGATTCACTAGAACTCACAAAATCCATGAAAATTGGTATACAACGAATAATAATGAATCCACAGTATACAACAAATGTTTGAACAATCAGTTCATCAAGAGTCTCTTGTCCTCTCCATTGACTATTTTAAAAAGGAACCTAGAGTTCGTACCTGTTAAAAACTGGTTGGATTTAGCAAATATTATAGATTGTAAGTGAAATTCAAAATTCTGTATTTTGAGAAACCATTTCTGAGAAGTAATTGTTTCTTATACAGTTCCTTCTTTTGCAATGAAAAAAGAAATAGAGCAAAAAATGCATAGTTTAAGAGTTCGAGGATAAACCCATGTAAATCAAACATGAGTTTTGGGTTAAGATATGGATCTTTATTTCATTTGTCAATAACTATTAATCATGTAGATATTATTGGCATCACTAATCACTTATATGTGTTATAGAATGTCTTATTCACTAATTCAAACAGCTAAGAAATATTGAACTGTGACCAAATAATTTTTAAGGTCATGATTGTGTATCAAAAAAAAAAATCTGTATTAAAAAAAAACAATCAATTTATCTTTTTTTTTATATAAATAAGGAGATGTGGTATAATTGCCAATGAGACAATTATCAACCAAAGTTTGAATGAAGTGTAAGCAGTTCTAAGGTTACATTACCTGCCAGTAGTAAACTGAAGCAGCAAAACTCTGTTCTCTTGACTGAAATCTTCAACAATTTCCCAAAACCACTAAAAGTATGAAATATTTATTTAATAAACTGTGATCACAGAGATATGTCTCGCCTTTTTGTAATTTTGATAATGCAAATGTTGAAAAGTCAATAGACCATGACTAAGGGAGGAAGCCAAATATTCTCCATGCAAATGAGATATGCCAATCCTTACACAACTGCATACCAATAATCGTTGACCTACCACTAGTGTTCTCCATAAACTGACCTAATCACAAACTAATACATGTAAACTAAGCAAAAGTTTCAAAGTCAATAGACCTTGACTTAGGGGGCAGGGCCAAATAATCTCCATGGAAATGAGATGTGCCAATGCTTGTACAACTGCATACAAAATATCATTGACCTACCAATTGTGGTTCACCATAAACTAGACCTAATCACAAACTAATACATTGTTGATGCCGACGCAGCCGACGCCGGAAACAGCATACTGATGTCTCGCTTTTTGACCCCGTCAAGGCGAGACAAAAATCAGTATTTATACAAATTTTTTATTTATATAAGGATGTAGGCCTAAAAAACTTTATCATCTAAAATCAGTAGCATCACATCAATTGTCTAAACAAAATATATTGTCTGTTTACCTTGACAATTTCTATTTTAATATCAGAGAAAGAATTAAAGCATTGTATCATTTAATTGACCACATAACCATAATTTTGTTTTAAATATATAATTTTACTAATTTTCTTTTTTAAGTGAACTACTTCAAATATACATAAACTGCTATGCTAAGCGCAGCTGGATATGACTGCAGATGTCCAACCCTGAACAGTTGGAGCAAAAGTAGACACAATATTCAAGCTTGATACAGGTCTGAATTTGGATTGTAATTAAATATTTGACACAATATTATAGGTTTCTGACACAGAATAAATGCAGTCAAAGAACTTGGAATTTGTTATATGATTTGAACTTATATTCAATTGAAGATTTCTTGCTTTTGTGCAATACACTATGCTGTTGCACAATATTGTGACCCCCATATTTTTTCGGAAAATTGACAATTTCTTAAATCTTGAGGGAAAATGAAGAAATTTTCTTTTTAATTTCATAAAATCTTGAGGAAAAAAAATCCCCCCCTCCCGAATTATTTTTTTTTACCCCATAATATTTTTTGGGGGGTTTAGGCAATTACCCCCAAACCTTCTACTTGTGCAATTGAACCTTGTGGTACAATTTCAGAGCAATCAAAATACTTATACACAAGTTATTGTCATGAAACTAGAAAAAATGCTTATTTTGGGCCCCTAATTCCTAAACGGTTGGGATCATCATCCCCAAAAACAATACCAACCTTTCTTTTGTGGTATTGAAACTTATGGTTAAATTTCATAGAGATCCATGCACTTAAACTAAAGTTATTATCCGGAAACCAAATGTGTCTTTAGACGACGACGACGCAGACGACTACATAGACATCATAGCATTATACGAACCAAAAAATTTGTTGTGGTCGTATAACTAGAGGCTCTCAAGAGCCTATGTCGCTCACCTGACTCTACTTTGGTTTTAGAAATCATGTAAAGATAGATAAAAATCATAACAGATACCCAAATAATGATTGAGGCCAAATTTTGATTAATATTGGTCCCGTTATTTAATAAAATATCCTGGTGGCCATCTTGAACAGTAAATCGGCAACAAAGTAGCAACACTTGGTCAGTGTTCATAAGGAACATTCATGCCATGTTTGGTTTCATTCCATTCAGTGGTACTCTAAAAGAAGACATTTGTATGTATTTCCCATAGGGTCCTATGTTAAACTAAGCCCCCCCCCCCCCCCTAGCTGCCATGTTGGATGATGGATCGCCTGCAAAGTAACAACACTTGGTCAGCAACTCATAAGGAACATTCATGCCATGTTTGGTTCAATTCCATTCAGTGGTTCTTTAAAAGAAGACAATTGTATGTATTTCCCATAGGGTCCTATGTTAAACTAAGTCCCCCGCTGTCGGCCATCTTGGATGATGGATCGGCTGCAAAGTAACAACACTTGGTCAACATCTCATAAGGAACATTCATGCCATGTTTGGTTCCATTCCATGTATTGGTTCTCTAAAAGAAGACATTTTTATGTATTTCCCAAAGGGTCCTATGTAAAACTAAGTCCCCTGCTGGCAGCCATCTTGGATGATGGATCGTCTACAAAGTAACAATTCTTGGTCAGCATCTCATAAGGAAGATTCATGCCATGTTTGGTTTCATTCCATTCAGTGGTTCTCTAAAAGAAGACATTTGTATGTATTTCCCATAGGTCCTTTGTTAAACTAAGTCCCCTGCTGTCGCCCATCTTGGATGATGGACCAACTGCAAAGTAACAACACTTGGTCAGCACCTCATAAGGAACATTCATGCCATGTTTGGTTTCATTCCATTCAGTGGTTCTCTAAAAGAAGACATTTGTATGTATTTCCCATAGGGTCCTATGTTAAACTAAGTCCCCCGCTGGCGGCCATCTTGGATGATGGACCGACTGCAAAGTAACAACACTTGGTCAGCATCTCATAAGGAACATTCATGCCATGTTTGGTTCCATTCCATTCAGTGGTTCTCTAAAAGAAGACATTTTTATGTATTTCCCATGGGGTCCTATGTTAAACTAAGTCCCCCGCTGGCGGCCATCTTGGATGATGGATCAGCTACAAAGTAACAACACTTGGTCAGCACCTCATAAGGAACATTCATGCCATGTTTGGTTTCATTCCATTCAGTGGTTCTCTAAAAGAAGACATTTGTATGTATTTCCCATAGGGTCCTATGTTAAACTAAGTCCCCCGCTGGCGGCCATCTTGGATGATGGACCGACTGCAAAGTAACAACACTTGGTCAGCATCTCATAAGGAACATTCATGCCATGTTTAGTTCCATTCCATTCAGTGGTTCTCTAAAAGAAGACATTTTTATGTATTTCCCATAGGGTCCTATGTTAAACTAAGTCCCCCGCTGGCGGCCATCTTGGATGATGGATCGGCTATAAAGTAACAATACTTGGTCAGCACCTCATAAGGAACATTCATGCCATGTTTGGTTTCATTCCATTCAGTGGTTCTCTAAAAGAAGACATTTGTATGTATTTCCCATAGGGTCCTATGTTAAACTAAGTCCCCCGCTGGCGGCCATCTTGGATGATGGACCGACTGCAAAGTAACAACACTTGGTCAGCATCTCATAAGGAACATTCATGCCATGTTTGGTTCCATTCCATTCAGTGGTTCTCTAAAAGAAGACATTTTTATGTATTTCCCATAGGGTCCTATGTTAAACTAAGTCCCCCGCTGGCAGCCATCTTGGATGATGGATCGGCTACAAAGTAACAACACTTGGTCAGCACATCATAAGGAACATTCATGCCATGTTTGGTTTCATTCCATTCAGTGGTTCTCTAAAAGAAGACATTTGTATGTATTTCCCATAGGGTCCTATGTTAAACTAAGTTCCCCGATGGCGGCCATCTTGGATGATGGACTGACTGCAAAGTAACAACACTTGGTCAGCATCTCATAAGGAACATTCATGCCATGTTTGGTCTTATTCCATTCAGTGGTTCTCTAAAAGAAGTCATTTGTATGCATTTCCCATAGGGTCCTATGTTAAACTAAGTCCCCCGCTGGCGGCCATCTTGGATGATGGATCGGCTACAAAGTAACAACACTTGGTGAGCACCTCATAAGGAACATTCATGCCATGTTTGGTTTCATTCCATTCAGTGGTTCTCTAAAAGAAGTCATTTGTATGCATTTCCCATAGGGTCCTATGTTAAACTAAGTCCCCCGCTGGCGGCCATCTTGGATGATGGATCGGCTACAAAGTAACAACACTTGGTCAGCACCTCATAAGGAACATTCATGCCATGTTTGGTTTCATTCCATTCAGTGGTTCTCTAGAAGAAGTTCAAAATGTAAAAAGTTAACGCCGACGACGGACGACGCCGGACGACGACGGACGACGGACGACGGACGCCAAGTGATGAGAAAAGCTCACTTGGCCCTTCGGGCCAGGTGAGCTAAAAATGTGTATTCCAAAGAGCACCTGATCATTTCACACTAACCTGGATAACAGGAGATTGTCTATCATAGCCATTGTATTCTGTATGTTTCTCCCAGTCACTGATATCTATCTCTGGAATACCAGACAACATTAACTCCTAAAATAGTACATAAAAATACAGGAAATCATCTTTTTTAAAATAGAATTTCGTTGCAATTGAAACCAAACTCATTTTTATTATTTTTGTTATAATAAAGCAATATTAAAAAATTATAAAGTACATCTCTTCGGTGACATACAATATATAAGAATACCTCTGTCACAAATTGACAATGATTTATTTACTGAAATGTATTAAATTAATTAATAGTTAGGACTAATTATCTCCCTTTAAAAGTTAGAAAGGTAAATAATTTATTGTATTTAATACTTTCCTAGTTAAATTGGCTGCGAGTAAATAACTGAAATTTTTTATCTACATCTGACTTGCAAGTCATATTAAAAAAAATATAACCTCAGTGTTGTAAATGTGTATGTCTCTAGCCTTTTTCTGTAATAACTGATACTAACCAATTCATACTCATCAAACATTTGTATCAGTGATTGTGGAATGTATTGATGGAAACCAGATAGAAAACTATTTATCTGTGGCTGTATGGCTCTTGTCATTCTTAATTCTGTTACTAACTGAGCATACTCTGTCTGAAATAGAAAATCACAATTCTGTATTAAAGAATTTTAAATTGAGTACCTGTTTAACTCTTGCAAATTGTACTAAACAAAAGGAATCACATCAATCTTGATCTAAATAAAACTCTCTACCTACTTGTTTGTGCTTTTGTCTGTGAGTGTATGACTCTAATCAAATTGTACTAAACAAAAGGAATCACATCAATCTTGATCTAAATAAAACTCTCTACCTACTTGTTTGTGCTTTTGTCTGTGAGTGTATGACTCTAATCAAATTGTACTAAACAAAAGGAATCACATCAATCTTGATCTAACTAAAACTCTCTACCTACTTGTTTGTGCTTTTGTCTGTGAGTGTTTAACTCTTGCAAATTGTACTAAACAAAAGGAATCACATCAATCTTGATCTAAATAAAACTCTCTACCTACTTGTTTGTGCTTTTGTCTGTGAGTGTATGACTCTAATCAAATTGTACTAAACAAAAGGAATCACATCAATCTTGATCTAAATAAAACTCTCTACCTACTTGTTTGTGCTTTTGTCTGTGAGTGTATGACTCTAATCAAATTGTACTAAATAAAAGGAATCACATCAATCTTGATCTAAATAAAACTCTCTACCTACTTGTTTGTGCTTTTGTCTGTGAGTGTATGACTCTAATCAAATTGTACTAAACAAAAGGAATCACATCAATCTTGATCTAAATAAAACTCTCTACCTACTTGTTTGTGCTTTTGTCTGTGTGTGTATGACTCTAATCAAAATAATTATTTTTATTTATGATAAATTTCTTTGAAAGACTAGAAGATCAATGATCAAGTTTATTACATTGGTTGAAATGAATTACATTGATTTCCCAGTGAAATGAAAACTGATAATTTCACATGTGAAATAAACGTGGTTATTTCACTCCTCTGACATCATACAACAATAAGCCTTGTCATGACGTTGGATCAAAACAAATTGTACACTTAAAAGGCTTGTATAGTCTGCAGTTTTATTCTCCAAAATTGAACCTGCCAGACAGAGGTGCGGACTATAAAGTACAATAAGCAAGAAATCAGAGAAAAAATTCAATTTCACGAGGTGGTTTGTTTACGTTCCGCCATGTTTGTTATTGAAATTGTATAGGGCGCTCCTATCATTTTTCAAACTAATAATTTTACCTAATCCATATTACTAAGTTATTTTTATTCAATATCAAATTAATACTGATTAATTTAACTAGAGGCTCTCAAGAGCCTGTGTCGCTCACCTGAATCTTCTTTGGTTTTGGAAATCATGTAAAAATAGATAAAGATCATAACAGATACGCAAATAATGATTGAGGCCAAATTTGGTTTAATATTGGCCCAGTAATTTAATAAAAAATTTGTGGCCATCTTGAACAGTAAATCAGCAAGAAAGTAGCAACACGTCATCAGCACCTCATAAGAAACATTTATGACATGTTTGGTTTCATTCCATTCAGTGGACTTCTCTTAAAGAAGACATTTGTATGTATTTTCCTTAGGGTCCAATGTTAAACTAAATCCCCCACTGGTGGCCATATTGGATGATGGATCAGCATCATAAGGAACAACACTTGGTCAGCACCTTGTAAGGAACATTTATGCCATGATTGGTTGCATTCCATTCAGTGGTTCTCTAAAAGAAGACATTTGTATGTATTTCTGGTAGGGTCCTATGTTAAACTAAGTCCATGCTGGTGGCCATCTTGGATGATGGATCAGCTTTAAAGTAACAACACTTGGTCAGCACCTCATAAGGAACATTCATCCCATGATTGGTTTTATTCCATTCAGTGGTTCTCTTAAAGAAGACATTTGTATGTATTTCCCATAGGGTCCTATGTTAAACTACGTCCCCCGCTGGCGGCCATCTTGGATGATGGATCAGCGTCAAAGTAACAACACTTGGTCAGCACCTCATAAGGAACATTCATGCCATGTTTGGTTCCATTCCATTCAGTGGTTCTCTAGAAGAAGTTCAAACTGTAAAAAGTTAACGACGATGAAGACAGACGACGACAGACGCCAAGTGATGAGAATAGCTAACATGGCCCTTCGGGCCAGGTGAGCTAAAAATTAAACGCTTCATTACAAATTTCTTGTTTCTTTTCGATGCATTGCTTAAAATAAACTGGTATCTGCTTGAATGAACCAATGCAAAAAAAGTAAAAAAGACAACCATAAACCAGCTTACGATGTGTAAACTACAAAACGTAATTGGTTATTATTCGTTCCGTTTCCGTGTTTCATACTGACAAATATGTTTTGTATTAGCTTAAGACCCGTCAAACATTAATGTGATAGATATATTAAACACTGTTTTACATAAGGATGGAACTGTTTTACTTTCAAAGTGGTATTACAGTGATATCTATTATGTACGGATTTCGACTCTCACCATTTTTTTTTTCTTCTTTTACATGTGCTACTCAAACTTCTCGTTTAAACATACACAAGTTATCTAAATTGTTTTTTGTGTGATTTAGACTTATTTTAACAATTGTGAAGTGTTCTAGAATCATTTATAAGCATTTTCAGACTCTGTTTGATGATGAAAAACATGTATATGCAGTTAGAGTGATATGACAATCTTTAAGTTTCATTTAAGTAAGGGATCATAGATTTATTCTTATGAGGAAGCTCCGAGCATGCTCGGAGGATGCTCAGAGCTTTTTCAGTAGGCTCTTCTCTGCAGTTTATGTGAAAATAATTATCATGATCCATTAAGATGTCAATCAAATCTACACCACTTCTATAATAAGGAAAGTAGAGCATTATAGAGGAAGCTCAATTAACACCTGTGTAAACATCTAATCTATTCAAATACATTTTGCCTGAAATTTTACAAAACTATAGAATAGATTAGAAATTCTTCAACAGTACTGTGTAATGCTTGGAAAGAAATCTCATGTCTCCACAAAAAGTGAAAGTCTTTAACAAAAAATATACAATTATTATATTTTTAAAATAATCATTTCTTTTTTTATAATAAAAAAAATTCTCAAATTTTATAATTAGATGATATGATTTAAATATAGTTTATATTATATAATATGCTACATAAAAGTTATCAAGACACAAACAACAGTCAGGGGGCGATACTAAACAAGTTATTTTTTTTAGTTACTTATATTAATAGGTATTTTTTGTTTTTTTAAATTATTTGATATAATCTCAATTGTTATTTTAAATGTCAAAAGTGGACTAAATGTAGTTTTTAAGAATTTTTATATCATTTCATTAAGTAAAATTAAGTATTTATCCAACTTGAGATGAGTATAGAGAGATTACTTCAAAAATAATGACAAAAATATTACTTTTATAAATTATTTTATACATCTTCGAAAAACTAAGCGAAAAACTAAGCACAATTATTTAAGGAACATATGTAATTGTTTTTGATAAATATTTCAAATTATAAATAACTTCAAATCTTAATTAAATCACAAGGTTCCATCCATTTATACTTGTTCATCTCTAAGATTTTGAAGGAAAATGTTATTTTAATAGCCCCAAGAGACCAATCTATGACCAAGAAGTGTGGCATCAGAAAGGCAATTAGTGTTTCAGGAGGATTTAAATAGTTTTATACTGCATGGGGAAAATAACCAGATGTGAAAATTTGTTAAAGCTTGTAAAAACTGTATGAATGGACACCTATAGAAATAATATTAACAGAAGTTACTTATTCATGATATATAAGTAATATTTGAAACAACCTTGTTTTCAATATAACTTGTATAGGTTATTTTGAAAATTACTAGTTTAAGTAATGCCCTTAACTAAACAATGGTATTTATTTTTTATAAAATAGCAAAGTTAGTTTTTTATATAAAATATTTTTGCAATTTTAGGGGACATGGCTACTAAAGCTTGTAAACAGAGAAAAAAAAAGGGGGATAGAATTTGGTTGGTTAATTCTGGTGATGTCTTCTTTCTTATATGCACTGAAAAATTATGTTGTTTTATTACTATAGTACAGGACAAGAAAAAACTTTACTCATGTCAAGTATTTCTTTATTTAAAACATAGATAAATTCTGCACATATTTTTGGAAAAATACCAATTAAACAAAAACTGATAGGGGGAAACAATTTTATATTAGATTTTCATTCAAGTACAGGTCAGGATAAAACTTCACTTCTTTATTTAAAATAAAACCAAATCTGCACAATTATATAAAATGACAATTAAAGTGAGACGTACTAGAGGGAAAACAATGGTGGTATTACCTCCTCAACCTTTCTTAGAGTAGCCATAATTTTTTTTATAAAAAACTAACTTTGCTATTTTATAAAAAAAAAAATTATCATTGTTTTAATAGTTAGGGGCATTACTTAAACAAGTAATTTTCAAAATTACTTATACAAGTTATATTGAAAACAAGGTTGTTTCAAATATTACTTATATATCATGAATAAGTAACTTCTGTTAATATTATTTCTATAGGTGTCCATTCATACAGGTTTTACAAGCTTTAACAAATTTTCACATCTGGTTATTTTCCCCATGCAGTATAAAACTATTTAAATCCTCCTGAAACACTAATTGCCTTTCTGATGCCACACTTCTTGGTCATAGATTGGTCTCTCGGGCTATTAAAATAACATTTTCCTTTAAAATCTCATAGTTTAACAAATATAAATGGATGGAAATTTGTGATTTAATTAAGACTTGAAGTTATTTATAATTTGAAATCTTTATCAAAAACATTTACATATGTTCCTTAAATACATGTAATTGTAAGTATGCTTAGTTTTTCGAAGATGTATAAAATAATTTATAAAAGTAATATTTTTGTCATTATTTTTAAAGTAATCTCTCTATACTCATCTCAAGTTGGATAAATACTTAATTTTACTTAATGAAATGATGAAAAAATTCTTAAAAACTACATTTAGTCCACTTTTGACATTTAAAATAACTATTGAGTTTATATCAAATAATTTAAAAAAACAAAAAATACCTATTAATATATATTAAGTAACTAAAAAAAATAACTTGTTTAGTATCGCCCCCTGACTGTTGTTTGTGTCTTGATAACTTTTATGTAGCATATTATATAATATAAACTATATTTAAATCATATCATCTAATTATAAGATTTGAGAATTTTTTTTATTATAAAAAAAGAAATGATTAATAAATATAATAATTGTATATTTTTTGTTAAATGACTTTCACTTTTTTGTGGAGACTTGAGATTTCTTTCCAAGCATTACACAGTACTGTTGAAGAATTTCTTATCTTTTCTATAATTTGTAAAATGTCATGCAAAATGTATTTGAATAGATCAGTTGTTTACACAGGTGTTAATTGAGCTTCCTCTATAATGCTCAACTTTCCTTATTATAGAAGTGGTGTAGATTTGATTGACATCTTAATGGATTATGATAATTATTTTCACATAAACTGCAGAGAAGAGCCTACTGAAAAAGCTCCAAGCATCCTCCGAGCATGCTCGGAGCTTCCTCATAAGAATAAATCTATGATCCCTAAGTCATACTTTATTATTCTTATTTAAAAGGATTTGACTTATTTTCCATGTTTTAATGCATTACCCTGTCAAAGACTCTCATTTTATTCAGTCAAATTGAATACTGCTAACTTTTTTATGTATATCAATCTGTATTATCCCCAATTAAAGTGATTTGACTTGCCTCAATGTTTTAATTCTTTATCTTGTACAACAGTCCTTTCACATATATAGTCATACCTTAATTATTATATAAAAGCATAGTAAAATATCAATGACTAAGTTTTTATTGTTAATCTATAATACCCTACTACCTCTCCACATTTAATTTTCAATCTGGTATATACCCGAAAAATTTCTTCACACTGATGTCACTACAAAAGGTTTTGTTTTCTCTCTATCATACCTTGTTTTCTTCTGTCACTGTTATATGACTTCCTCCTGGTTTTAATTCTACTTCCTGCATCACACCAAACACATCAGTCTCAACAGAAAATGTCAGATCCAATCCTAAATTGTCAATGTCATGGTCAAGTATCCACTGTAATATAAAGTCATCTTTGGTCAAAAGTCAACAACCTTTACCTGCTCCAGGATATTACACTGCTATTTGAAAATCTCAGTCGAATGTAACAAATGCCATTTCAAAACAATTGTGTGCCTTATTTTAAAGCACCTTTAAAAAGTTAACCCTATAAAAATCAACTCTTAATCTATTGATGCCGATTTTTGTTGTTGAAAACAAACTAATGTTTAAAAAAAGAACTCATCTGAATGCATATAATTTGTTAAGGATGTTCGCTACTCTTGTTTTTGAATTTCTGTCAGATATTTGGAATCCTCTAGTTTTATCCATGTTAGTGCCAATAAAAATTTTTGCCCGCTAGCCCTCACTTTTCTTTTCATAATTTTATCATATATTGTTTAAAAAGCCATTTTTGAAAATCTTATATAATCCTTGTTATTTTTTCCTAGTATTTGAAAGAAAAAAGGTGCCAATGTTATATACATGAAAAATCTAAAGAGAAACATTTCCCGCCAAATTTTCAATGGCTTATATCTCAAAAACAAGCACACGGACCCTTCATTTTTTTCTGTTTTTTTAGTTCCTTTGTGTATATACTACCAATTTATAACAGTCTTATAGAAAGTTTGTTATTTTGAAACAGAGTAGCAAACATCCTTAAGGTTATGAGTGTACACAGGGATTTTCAACTGAAATGGATGGGCATTTTTCAGCACAATTGTCTTCCTTAACAAAATAAAAAAGAAATACGAAATATTTTATTAAAGAAAGCTCAATTATAAACATAAGTCAATAATAGCATAGATACAACAAAGAATAACATTTAAACAATCTCACTAAAATTAATAATAAACAAAATATTGTGTGTTCCAAGGGGAGTAACTCTAGTATATATAGAAATAATTAATCACTGTAGATAACAAAGTCAAGATTAGAAATATTTTAGATGGTCATATTTTTAATAACAGATTTATCCTGAAAATATGAGTGTTTTGAAACCATTATAGAAGTTATCCATTATTACATAAGGAATATTCCATCATAGTATGTACATATGTTTCACTTTATAAATGAAATAGTAAAATTGTTGTAGTCTTCTGTATTCTCATAGAATTTAAAGTGCAAGTATATCTTGGTTCATACGCTAAAATAAGGGCAAAGTTATATTTAAAATCAGATATGCTGAGTGGAATAAATTTAGAACGGAATTTCAAAATTTAAACATTATAGAGACTGAATCATTTTTTCACTTATTCTTTTGATAAGTGTATTAAACGTTGCAAGAGAAAAAACAAAATTCCCATACTGTTCACTCTTTACTGATATGCTTATTTATTAGCAAATTTTGCAAGAAATAGAATATGGTATGTGTCAATTATAGCACATTCTTGAGGGGTCAAAGAGTCAGAAGATATATATGAATAAGACGTAATCACCTGCAGATTTTTAGCGTAGTCAGGATCAATAGATGCCACATCTGTATAATTCACTGGGATACCTACAAATTAAAGGTCATATTATATATATGTAATCATTTCTATTTCCCTTTGAATGCTATTAAAATATTCTGTCTTAAATAGTCAGATATCCTAGAGTTTCAATCTATTGTTATATCAAATTAGACAGTGCAAAAAATATTCAATGGTATGTGAACTTAGGATGCTTGCTTTGCATGATGCGTAATCACTGGATATAAGGTATCAAATTCTTTATGAGTAACACCATGGGTGTTGCATGTGGACCAAAAACTACTTACTCTTTTGGAGCACCTGAGATCAACCCTGCGTTTTTTTAAGGGGGGGTTTGTGTTGCTCAATCTTTAGTTTTCTATTTTTTGTTTTTTTAAATGCACTGTTGTTTGTCTTGTCATTGTTTTTTTGTTTTTGCCATGGCATTGTCAGTTTGTTTTTGACTTATGAGTTTGAATATCCCCCTCTTTTTAAAAAGCAAACTTAAGCAATAAAAAGTCTTCTATACCAAACTGTATTTGGAACAACTTTACAGAAATTTTGATTTTTAAAGCACTACAACTTTGTACTTGATTTGGTCTTCCAACTATTTTCATTCGAGCTTCACTGATGAGACTTATGTAGAATTCTCTGGCATTCAAAATTATAAGTCTGATATCTGTGATGAGTATTTACTTGCATTAAATCAAACTTACCTAGGATATGTTTATAAAATGATCTGGTAAAGTAAACATTGATTAACTGCTTGTGATAAAGACAAAGTCCTAAGATTTGTCCTGCAAATCTAAAGTAGTTAAGGTGGTCTGGATTTATGGCAGAGTTACTGTTTGGCTGGAATGTACTCCCTAAAAAGATATATTCCCATAAAAGGGTAAAAATGTACTCCTTAAAAAGATATTCTCGCAATAAAAGGATGAAAATGTAATTTTGTGCCAAAAAGTACATCTTGAATAAAGTTGTACATGATATATATTGCCAGTTATTAGAATAAACCATTATAATTCATAGAGTATCGTTTAAATAAAAAAAAAATTATTCCTGGTCCCACCAATGTTCCTTTTCAAGTGTACACTAGTCCAATTCCAACATTTTATTCTCCCAATAAAACTTGGGAAATGTATTTCTATACCAAGATCCAAATTTGGCGACAGTAGGTTTGGTGTTAAAAATTATTCCATCTTTGAAATTCTTGTGCTTCTTTCGCAACATTAGATTTATAGATCTGACATTTGATATTTCTGTAAACTTCAAAATTTATTGTCTCTATGACAATACATCTCCTCTTTTCCTCATAAATATTTTTTGAGTGTTCCTGTTGAAAGTAAATCAGATAAAATGCTTCGCTGAGCACAGCCTGATACGACCGCAGAGGTCGAACCCGGAACAGTTGGGGCAAATTTGGACACAATATTCAAGCTTGATACTGTTTGAATTTGGATTTTTATCAAATTTTTGACAATATATAGGTTTCTGACAAAAAATAAATGTGGTCAAATATCTTAAAAATCTATTGCACAATACTTTGCATTTGAAGATTTCTTCTTGAAACTTTACAAAAAATTTGAAATTTGAAAAATTTTGAAAAAAAAAATATGAACCCCTTAAATAAATTGGAAAAAAAATCCCCCCCATAAACTTTTTGAAACTCCCCATTGGAGCAATTATCGGGTATCCCCAAACTCAATCACAGCCTTCCCTTTGTAGAATGGAACCTTATAGTACAATTTAAAGAGATCCATACACTTAAACACAAGTTATTGTCTGGAAACTAGAAAAATGCTTGTTTTTGGCCCTTTTTTTGCCCCTGATTCCTGCATGTTTGGTACAATTACCCCCACAATTCAATCACAGCCTTCCCTTTGTGATGTGGAACTTTGTGTTATAATGTCAGAGAGATCCATACACTTACACACAAGTTATTGTCCAGAAACTACAAAAATGCTTGTTTTAGCCCCTTTTTGGCTCCTTATTCCTAAACTGTTGGTACCATAACCTCAAAATCAATCCCAACCTTCCTTTTGTGGTATTGAACCTTCTTGTAAAATTTCAGAGAGATCCATTCACTTAAACTAAAGTTATTGTCCGGAAACCAAATATGTCTTTGGACGACAACGCAGACGACGACATCATAGCATTATAAAAAAAAACAAAAATTTTTGTGGTCATATAAAAAAGATCTTTGGACATTTTAAATATATAAAGTGTTACTAGTATTTCAATCTTTTTTTTTCAAACCTTCTACCTACAACTTCCAACATCTAACATATTTTACATACCATCTGCTGACTGGGTAAACAAGGCATAATCTGGATTTAGGATTTCTTTAGATAAAACATCAAACCATTCTCTCACTACTCCCTGTCCCTACAATTAATCAAGTAAAATATGTTCAATCTCACATTTTTTTTTTGCATAGAAAACACTTTCATTAATGTATACATGACAGATAAACACATGAACTCGACACAACTACTGATAATAGAATTCCATTATTCCCTGGGGTCTCCTGAAAAAAGAAGTAATTTTTCCCTCTCCAAATAGATTAGGCCCTGTTACGGTCAAAGAAAAAAAGAAAGAGTACAGGAGAGCATTCACATTCATATATGAATTTGGTTCCTTACTTGGGAGAAGAAGAAGAGAGCAAATGTTCAAGTCTAATCCATAACAAATACCTTGCCTTCTTGATTTTGGATCTATGTGGGAAACAATTTACGAGGAATTGAATTAATGTTTGGATTTTCTTCTTCATTCATTTTCATTATGTCAAACAAGAATGTGTCCATAGTACATGAATGCCCCTCGCACTATCATTTTCAATGTTCAAAGGACCGTGAAATTGGGCTCAAAACTCTAATTTGGCATTAAAATTTGAAAGATCATATCATAGGGAACATGTGCACTAAGTTTCAAGTTGATTGGACTTCAACTTCATCAAAAACTATCTCTACCAAAAACTTAAAACTAAAGCGGGACAGACAGACGAACAGACGGATGGATGAACAAACTAACAAACAAACGCAAAAACCAAAAACATAATGCCCCTAGGTGGGGCATACAAATTAGCACACATAAGACTGAATTTCTTGAAAACATTGAATATATTTATTGCATTTAAAGATTTAAGATTTAACATTGAACAAGAATATATGTTTGTAATTTTAAAAGTTACCATAAGCATGATTACTCATCTGATGTAAATATTTATAAACAAATTTAATATCTACAAAATATTTAAAAGAGAAGTACAAAAGATGGATTACAAATTGTTGAAATAATATAAATACCATGCCCTCTTCACCATCAAACTTTAATGCTAGTCCTTTCTTCAATTTATCTGGATTTTCTTTAAGTACCCTGTCACAGCTACTATCAAATATTCTTTCTGTTCATAAAAAAAAAGGTAACCATGGGACCATGCGATTATTATGTTTTATACACAATTCTTACTTTCATTTATTTCAATAAATTTTGTATAAGAAACATGCATTTCCTCATCCTTTAGTTTCGTTCATTCAGAAATTTTGCACAATTTTTATTATTGCAAAAATTGTAAAAAGATAGGTTTAGCAAAAATAACTACTTAAATTCTAATAAAATTATTTGTATGCATCATTAATAAATCTTGCATTTCATTCCATTGTCCAAAAATTGCAATAATAAATGCAATAAAATGCAAGTTTATGTTCTGGTTTTTCATTAGGCTAAATAGAAGCACTTGAAATAAAATTCATTTTCCAATAAATTTAATATACACTACTGTAAACAAACTTATTTTCGCGGATACTTTATTTCGCGTTTCGCCCTTTCTAGTTCACTTCGCAGCAATTTTATTTTGCAATTTTTTAATTTACTTGATGTAGTTAAATAAGGTTAGATCCAAGTTATTCATATATGCGACGATTTAAATTCACATTATTTTTCTACTCGCGAAAGTCGCGAAAATTAGTTGGTTTACAGTATTTCAAAATCTTCATAAAGGAAATGGTTATAATCTTAATTTTCAGTAATAAACACACAATTCTTTTAACAATTATCATGTTCAGATACAGAGAAACCTAATAAAACATTGTAGATTGTTATGTTGTTTTTGAGTCTAAAGTCTGTTGTTCAGAGGTTGTTGTTTGTTGCTGTGGTTCAAAGTGTTTCTTCTTTCTCGTATTTTATATAGATTAGTTTTCCTATTTCAATTGTTTTAAGCTAGTTATTTTGGGGCCCTTTATAACTTGCTGTTTGGTGTGAGCCAAAGCTCTGTGTTGAAGGCTGTACTTTGACCTATAATTATTTTCTTTTTATAAATTTTTACTTGGATGGAGCGTTGTCTCATTGGCACTCAAACCACATCTTATTTATATTGAAGATAGAATAGATATATGTGTAGTACATGTAGTAAAATTTATAATTTTGACAATCATCTTAAATATGCAATTCTACTGCAATCCTATTGAAAGACATTTTACTTAATTTATTAATCAAACTTTGCTTTAAAATCAACATTACAATATTTAGCTATGTATCAGTTTATATCAGAAAATTTAGGAAAACCAGAAAAGGTTAATACAATATTTTTTTTACAAGTTATTAAAAGAATACCCTACCTCTATTTATAATGAGAATGTCCTGGTCAGTAGCTGGGATATGTAACACTTCACTTTGATTTTCATCATCAGATATATTCTGGTAAAACCATTCTCTTCTTTTAATAAAAGGCTGAGGAAAAAATGAGATTATTGTATTGTACAATTATTTACCACGTGACAGGAAGACTTATTGTTTTAGTTTGTTTCCATTCCACATATCTTATTAGGGTTTAAAAATCTCTAGAACATCTTGAAAACCAGATATATGTATATTTTTATAAAAAGTGAAAGTAGAAAGTTAAACATACACTACAGTGCTAAAAGTGAAGATAATTTAATGTTAGGTATGTCAATTGCGGGTTGGAAGTGACAACCTCAAAAGCCATTTTCTCTGTAAATAAGTTGGAGTTGTCTCTCTTTTTGCACAATATGAAAGTTATGAGGTTGGTCATTGACCTAATACTTCACCAGAAGTTTGGAATCGTCTGCTTTGTTTACATTTCGTATAGTTTTGAGAATGGCCCCAAAACATGAGGAACTGTCATTGTCGGAGACAATTACATGTACCAAGACGACATTGCCCTAGTTCATAGAGCCAATTCTATGAAAGTGTATATGGAACAAAATCACATTCATGGTATGGATGGCCAGTACAAAGTCCAAACCTTAATATTATTGAGAATATGTGGCGTAAAATTAAACTTGAACTTTAAAAACAGGCACATAATATCACCGCAATATGTAGCATATGGACAAATATACCCTTAGAATCTATAAGAAAACTTTATGAGTCGATCGCAAGACGTTTGAGGCAAGTAATAAGGGCAAAAGGAAACATCACAAAATATTAGGTGAGTTCATATCATTTTATTAGTAAAATTACAAAGGTTGGAATGTGACAGGTGGCCCGAGAACACAGTTATTTCTTTTAGACAACAAATTCAAATTGAAATAAATTGCTTCGCCGAGCGCAGCTGGATACGACCGCAGAGGTCCAACCCTGAACAGTTGGGGCAAAAATGGACACAATATTCTCACTTGATAGATACAGGTCTGAATTTGGATTATAATTATATATTTGACACATAATAGGTTTCTGACACAGAATAACTGTAAAAGAACTTGAATTGGTTATGTGATTTGAATTTATATTCATTTTTTTGCTTTTGTGCAATACACTATGCTGTTGTGAATTAACCCACTCCCCCCCCCCCCCAAAATTTTTTTAACCCCCCCTTTTTCCAAAAAAAAATTCTTTCCCTCAAGATATGGTCATAATCTCAATTCAAATTTCCAATGCAGTTTGCAACCATAATAACCCATTTAAATACATCATAAAAGTCTTAAAATAAAAAATGACATACATAAAAAAAATAAATTGATAAATTGACACATAATCACCTCAAGACAATACAACATTTCTTTATACCTAATTTAAAAGCAGTGTAAGGGAGGTAATTCAAAATGTTTAAAAATTCAAAAGGTGTTTGAATTACCTCCCTTACACTGCTTTTAAATTATGTTTTGTACTTAATTGTCCATTAACCAGGACACCCTTGTTTTTCCCCCTTTTTTGCCCCTAATTTCTAAACGGTATCAGCCATAACCTTTGTGGTATGGCAACTTGTGGTATAATTTCATAAGAGATCCATACACCATTCCACAAGTTATTGTCTGGAAACTAGAAAAATGCTTATTTGGGCCCCTTTTTGGCCCCTAATTCCTAAACTGTTGGGACCATAACCCCCAAAATCAATCCCAACCTTTCTTTTGAGGTCATAAACCTTGTGTTTAAATTTCATAGATTTCTATTTATTTATACACATGTACTAAAGTTATTGTATAAAAACCAAATGTCTTCGGACGACGATGACGACGACATGATACAATGTACCAATTTTTTGCGGTCGTATAAAAATTGTACCTGCTCTATCTAAAAGCATCAGTGTGGTGTACTACTATTGGGACAAAAAATATCAGAATTGTAGAAAAATCTACCAGTTCTAACTCAAAATATGGACAATTCTATGTTAAGGGAGTCAAAAATTCAGTTTGACAGCTTCAGACATACTAATTTTGACCTTTTTTAACTGGACCAAATCACTATTTAACATAAAGATTCAGCACCCAAGTTTTTTAAACATGTAATTTCATCCCTTTACTTAATATTTCTTGCATAAAATATCAAGAAATAAATTGGGAAGTGTATGAAAAAAATGTGCAAGTTATATACTGTTATATACACTAGGGACTATATTTGTAGACAACGTAAACCAAAGGACGATAACTGAGTCCTCAGACCAGGTACTTGACAACTGTATGTGGCAGCCATCTTGGAATTATCTTTACTTTTGGCACAAGTCTGTAGACCAGATAAATAAAGAAAATACACAGTTTGTTTATAAGTCAACTTGAGTTTGTCTTTGTTTTATATGATGCATTAATTTGTTCTACTGTTGAAACCTTTACTTTTCATTATTTCTTTCACCTCGAACAACACACATTGAAGTCAAATTCTACGTGCCAAGCTTAATTTGTACTTCATTACACTTCAGTGCTTAATTTCTGTATGTAAATTGTTAATTATGTTCCCTTAAAACCACTTATAGTTATAATATAATTCATACCTGCAATTTAATGATATGTATGAACTGAGACATCAATTCTGGACATTCCAATAAGAAATGGAAATGATCAAATATCACAGTGGTATTTCTGTAAATATATAAACTGGAACATCAATTCTGGACATTCCAATAAGAAAAAAGTAAAATAACAAAAGTTCTGAAGGGAATTTCAAATGGTAAAGTCCTTCTAAAATGGCAAAATCAAAAGCTCCAACACAATAAATGAACGGAAAACAACTGTCATATTCCTGACTTGGTGCAGGTATTTTTCCTATGTAGAAAATGGCGGGTTAAACTTGGATTTATAGCTAGTGAAACCTCTCACTTGTATGACAGTCACATAGAATTCCATTATATTGACAACAATGTGTGAACAACACAAGCAGACATAATTGAAATGATCAAACATCACAGTTGTATTTCTGTAAATATAAAATAAGCTGTATCAGATATAAATTGACCTTATGCAAATGAATATCAATACAACTGTTATCTTATTAAGGGTTGAAATTATCTCTATGCAAAGTCTGTAACTGTTTGAAATTGAGTTGATATACATGTAAGAACCCTACTCAACTGTACCTTGTATCATCAGCCCGGAATGTAAAGGAGAAAAAGGTTTTCAAAAATTAAGGTTCCACTCTATAACTAAAATATGACCTTGCTACACATATGCATTGGCATTTTACTATATTTTATTAGTAATAATACATTTCAAATATTAAATGAGGGCATCTGATGCATACGAATAATTTTTCAAGAATTATGAGCAAATATCCTGATCTTTCAGATAGCCAATTATATTAAGAGAGAGGTTGAAAGATACCAAAAGGCATTCAAACTCACAAGTCAAAAATAAACTGACAACCCTATGGCTAAAAAAGAAAAAGGCCAACCGAATAAAATGCTCCTCTGGGCGCAGCTTGATACGACCGCAGAGGTCAAACCCTGAACAGTTGGGGCAAGTATGGACACAACATTCAAGCTTGATACAGCTCTGAATTTGGATTGTGATTAAATATTTGACACAGCATAGGTTTCTGACACAGAATGAATGTGGTCTTAGAACTTAAAAATTTTTAATCTGCCTATTCAAACCATATCATTATTATTTGCTTTTATATCTAAATCAGAAATAACCAACTTAAAATGGAAAATTTTAAAGAAAAAAAAAAGGAAAAAAAGGAAAGAAAAAAAAAATGAAAAAAAAATCCCCCCCCCCCAATTTTTTTAACCCTCTTATGATTCATCACCCCCAAACTCAATCCCAGCCTTCCCTTTGTGGTATGGTACCTTGCAGTACAATTTCAGAGATATCCATACACTTGAACACAAGTTATTGTCTGGAAACTAGAAAAATGATTGTTTTTTGGCCCCAAATTCCTAAACATTTAAGGCAATTACCCCCAAACTCAAACCCAGCTTTCCCTTTGTGATATGGAACCTTATAGTACAATTTCATAAAGATCCATACACTTACACACAAGTTATTGTCCTGAAACTAGAAAAATGCTTGTTTTTTGCCCCTTTTTGGCCCCTAATTCCTAAAATTTTGAGGCAATTACCCCCAAACTCAATCCTAGCCTTCCCTTTGTGGCATGGTACCTTGCAGTACAATTTCAGAGAGATCCATACACTTGAACACAAGTTATTGTCTGGAAACTAGAAAAAATGCTTATTTTTGGTCCCTTTTTGGCCCCTTATTCCTAAACGTTTTGGGCAATTACCCCCAAACTCAATTCCAGCTTTTCCTTTGTGATATGGAACCTTGTAGTACAATTTCAGAAAGATCTATACACTTTCACACAAGTTATTGTCATGAAACTAGAAAAATGCTTGTTTTTTGCCCCTTTTTTGGCCCCCAATTCCTAAAATTTTGAGGCAATTACCCCCAAAATCAATCCCAGCATTCCCTTTGTGATATGGAACCTAGTGGTATAATGTCAAAGAGATCCATACACTAACACACAAGTAATTGTCTGGAATATACAAAAATGCTTATTTTTGGCCCCTTTTTGGCTCTTATTCCTTATCTGTTGGTACCATGACCTCCAAAATCAATCCCAACCTTCCTTTTGTGATATTGAACCTTATGGTAAAATTTCATAGAGATCCATTCACTTAAACTAAAGTTATTGTGCGAAAACCAATGTGTCTTCGGACGACGCAGACGACGCCAACGTCATACCAATATACGACCACAAAAATTTTTTGCGGTCGTATAAAAACAATAGCACACAAAAGTGACAAAACACAGCGTAGAAAACCAAAGACTGAGCAACAAGAACCCCAACAAAAACTAGGGGTGATCCGGAAGGGTAAGCAGCTCCTGCTCCACATGTGACACCCTTCATGTTGTTAATTTTAGTACAAACCCAGTAATAAGTTAAATAATTAGTAAAAATCCTTAATTTTACTGTTTAAATTAATAGCATGTGCTCCATCCATCTTTAAGTATGCAAGAAGTATTCTCATTATGTTAAAGGTATCTTAATGTAAAACAAAAAATATGTGAGTTTACCTCTGAACTAAAGCTTTGAGCACCTTATTATGTTTACAAAAAATATGTGAGTTTACCTCTGAACTAAAGCTTTGAGCACCTTATTATGTTTACAAACAAACTCTATGAATCTTGGAGATGTAATCCTAAAATTAAAATAAAAACATTATAAAACAAATCATAGCATTTTGAAGTAAACAAACAACAAAATGTCATGCATGAAGAAAAAAAATGTTCAACAAAATTTCGACTATAAAACATAATTTCTTCAACAAAAACTTAATAAACATACTTGCCAACAATACAGAAATTACAGTATCTCATTTTTTTCACTAATTTAGATTCAAGCATCACCGAATAGCCTTCTGTAGAGGAACGAAGTGTGTCTGGCATACACAATTTTAACTAATTCAAAACTGGTTTAATAGAGTGAAAATTTAACTTAGTCCCAAAGCTTCTCTTATTTCCTTTTTTCTTTTATTTTTATGTTATTGTTTATATCTTTGTTTGTGTGTTCTTGGTTGGATTGTTATTATACCACATCTCATTATTTTCATATATGTTTGGTCTTGAATAGAATACATAAAAAAAAACAATGGACAACACCAATCCTTTATATTTGACTTTTCCAAAGAATTAGATGTACATACTAATATAATAAGTAACTACACAATGTCCAAAAAGCCTGATTTGGCATGGACAAAAATTAGGGGAAGGTATATTCAGTTTTACTTGTGCACAAACCTTCCACATTTAATCAAGACCAAATCTCGGAAAAATTAACTTAAGTATAAAATGAAAATATATGCACACTCCAGCTGTCAACAGAATGTCTAAATATTATTAGTAAAATAAAAGGATATTTTAACAAAACGATGATAATTTCATCTTAATATTTTATATGTAAATGTTTGGATCTGATTGGGTATGATAAGAACATGTGGTATAAAAATTCTTACTCTGATTGGGTATGACAAGAACATGTAATATAAAATGTCTTACTCTGATTGGGAATGACAAGATCATTTTATACCTGTCAACCTATGAAAATGAAAATGCAGGTCATGACCTGCATTGAAGAATAAAATCTCAGGTCATAAGTGTACAAACTTTTTTCCAGCTGAATTTAAGTATTTAGGGGACATTTTTTTTATATTTGTTTTTATATCTTAAATCAAACAGTTTCCATAAACATGTTCCTATGGTTAAGTATTAACTAAAAATAATTTTAAAACTACTATTGTTGCAATGCACTTAAGATTTTGATAGATTAATGTTTCAAAAAAAGCCATAACCCCTTGTTCTTGATTATAATCTATTCTGACGTCACCAGTCATAAGACACTCAGTGTGCATCTCTCTGTACAGCTTTATTTATTATCTCCAGACTATTTGGTGTTAGAGTATAATAAAAAAAAGTTAAACATTTAAAGGAAGTAGAGATGAAAAAAATAATTTTCAACTATTCATTTTCTAATTGTACTAAGGTAGAAAAATAATGAAAAGTAATATTCTAATATGTGTTTGCATTCAATTTGTTTTAGATTTAATCTTTTTTACAAAAATAAACATAAATTTAAGGAGTATATTTTGAAAGGAGGGACGAAAGATACCAGAGGGACAGTCAAACTCATAGATCGAAAACAAACTGACAACGCCATGGCCAAAAATAAAAAGACAAACACACAAATAATAGTACAGATGACACAACATAGAAAACTAAAGACTTGGCAACACGAACCCCACCAAAAACTGGGGGTGATCTCAGGTGCTCCGGAAGGGTAAGCAGATCCTGCTCCACATGTGGCACCCGTCGTGTTGCTTATGTTATTACAAATCCTGTAAATAGTCTAATTCGGTAGGTCACATTCGTGAAAAGGGAAGGGTATTGTAGTTACGACATAAGGAACATATCCGATATCATCTGTGAAATGGTTATTCCATAACGGTCAACCAACTCGTGATGGCATCCGTAAAATTTACGAAGGAATGATTTCAACTTGAAAGGTGACAAAAAAGGGGAAGTAACTCAAATTTTTTGTGAAACAACTTGGAAATACATGAATTATGACCTAAAGCTAAGGTAATTGGTGTTAATTAACAGTGTGTTTGACACCAAAGCTGTCAAGTGAAGCCATGCACTGAAATGGGTCACTTAAATTGATTTTACACAGCTAGTTGAACTTCTTGTCCAGGAAGAATTACAAATTTGCCGGTATTTCAAAGGAAAATCACTTATGGAATCAGTCTGAAGGATTAAGAATCTGGATGAAAACAGGTCATTTTCGGAATTCCCGGGTTATTTAACCAGCCAGCGGGTATCCCAGGTGACAACTGCAGGATACAGGTCAGTTGACAGGTATGCATGTTATATAAAATGTCTTACTCTAATTGGGTATGACAAGAACATGTGATATAAAAAGTCTTACTCTGATTGGGTATGACAAGAACATGTGATATAAAATGTCTTACTCTGATTGGGTATGACAAGAACATGTGATATAAAATGTCTTACTCTGATTGGGTATGACAAAAACATGTGATATAAAATGTCTTACTCTGATTGGGTATGACAAAAACATGTGATATAAAATGTCTTACTCTAATTGGGTATGACAAGAACATGTGATATAAAATGCCTGAACAACACCACAGATCCTTGGTAATGTAGCACCAATGACATCCTGGTCCTCTAAACTCATATGTTTTAAAATTCCCTCTGATACTTGAAGTTTATCTTTACTACAGTGAACATCTGAGTACTGATTAGCTGCCTGTTGTTGTTGTGGAGATGCATTTGAAGAGTTAGTGGTATTCATTGTCTTTGGCTTTTCAACTGAATGAGATCCATTTTCATTTTCAACAAGATTTGCCATAGATTGTCTGGGACTTTTCTGATCAAATTCTACTTGTAGCAAATTAAGCCAGTCTTCCAGGAGCTGCCATAGACTTTCTGCTGGCTGAAATATTTTATCATTGAAAAAATCAAACTTGACATTTCAGATTTATAAAACATAGTACATTATACATATGAATGAATTCCAAAATTGTATTTGTGACATAGGAATGGCAATAAGATATAAAAGTATGGTTTCATGTAGACTTTATGAACTGTATAGCTACCCAAAAAGGTTTTGGAAATGAAAAAAGTATGGCCACTGTGTTTACTGAAAAAAGAAAATCTTCCTGTTATTAAAAATATCAAATCTAGGGGCTTTAAACATTTTTTATTTTCCCTTACCCATCCAAACTCAATTTGATATATCATTTGAGATGTTCTCATACTGAATATACATGGAATATTTTTATAAAAATAAGAAGATGTGGAATGATTGACAATGAGACAACTCTCCACAAGAGACCAAATGACACAGTATTTAACAACTATAAGTCACTGTATGACCTTCAACATTGAGTAAATCCCATACCACATAGTTGATTATATATTTCAGATTTCTTTAAGCGACAGTTATTCAGATCATGAATTATCAAATCTGATTTAACAAGACTGTAACATAGTTAAACATGATTTACAGCTAAAATCCCTGATCCCACAGAAAAAGCTGACCTTAGATTTAATTGGTTATTCATTGTGGGTTAAATAGCTCATTATATTATAAAGATTTTTCGTTCATTATTTTGTACTAAATCAGGCTGTTAGTTTTCTCATTTGAATTGTTTTACATTTGTCATTTCGGGCCTTTCATAGCTTACTATGCAATATGGGTTTTACTAATAGTTGAAGGCTGTATGGTGACCTATAGTTTTTAATGTGGAGAGTTGTCTCATTGGTAATGATACCACATCTTCTTATTTTCATGCTAAGTATATAATTATACAATCCTGGAATATGAAGGTCAATCAAGGAAAGAACTTCAGAACTTCAGAAATACAAAATTTATCAAGTGTTATTTTATGAAAGGTGTCAACCATCTGGAAAATGGTGTTAGCTTCTCTTTTTATTTCTAAAATTCCATTATATATGGAAAGGAAAGTACAATCTTCAATAAGAAAAACTTTCCATCAAAATTGTTTCCTCAGACGGAGTTTTCCTTTTTTAGATGTGTGATATCTATGGACTGTATTGAAAGGAATAAGTTGAGAAGGAATTATGAACACATTAAATTCTTTTTTTGTAAAAATCTGGTTCATTTATTTATGGCCCTAATATTAGATTGGTTCATATTGTTGGTTGTTTTTACTGATTTAGTTCACAAACTACCTTCACACTATATGAATTATAACTTAGTAGATGACAAAATTGTCAAGTCTTTGTGAAGGATAGTGATTTATACTTTGATGGACTTTCACCATTTCATTCTTCATGACCTTTCTATACTATTATCAACAGTTTTGCGTGCATTCATTACATGCATTGCTGAACTACAAACACAAATGTGAGATAATTATGATTTCTGAAAATGCAACATACAAATAAAGCTATCAAAATGTCACCCTTTATTTTTGCAAAAACTTTCTGATCGCAATTTTCACAATAAAAAAAAACATTGCAAAAGTTTCTAAATTAACAGTATATAATTTATCTATATTATCCATTGTCACAAAAAATTCCAGTGGTATAAATAATTTGATAACCTTGAATATCCTTATAGCTTTTGGTGAGACAGGAGTGACACCATTGACTACTGCTGACTGTATGGATGCTGTCATAGACTGATATACTGATGTGTAAAGTTTACATAGAACTCTGACACAGGTCAACAGTACTGAAACATGGACTTCAACATTACTGGATAAACTAAAAATAAGAATAAACATATTATAAATTGATAAATTAAAAGGATTCCTCCACTTGTAAATATGCTCCTGTCAACTTCCACATACAAATCCAGGATTCCAGTAGTTTGGACCTTTTGGTGATCATAAGCATTGTGTATAAATTTCACAACATTGGGTTAAGGCAAACTAATGTTCATGGCCTGAAACAACAGATTTAGCAATTTTTTCAATGTATAAAGGGTCATAACTCATGAATGGTAAAAGTGACCCCACCCAATTTCAAACTTGATCTGACTATTTTGTGGTCATATGCATTGTGAATATAACATGTATAAGTTTCATAACATTTAGGTTGAGGCAAACTAAATTCAGAGAACTGAAACGAAATATTCAGCAATATTTATGTTTATTAAGAGAAATAACTCATGAATGGTAAAAGTGATGTCATCCTATTTCGAACTTGATCTCTGTTTAGTGGTTACTTAATTACCATTGCACTACAGCGGGGGCATAAAAAGTCCCTTGTTTAAAGCCCAATTGCTTTCTGTGTTAGATCTGCAACTTGGACCTTTTTGGGGCTAAAAAAAAAATAAGAGTCCTGACGTGGGGGCATGTATATTTTACAGTAAAAGTGTAAGGGTTGGACATTTTTTATTACAAATTCTACCCATTAATTTCCTATTGTAAAAAGTGATTGGATGGATACAAGGCTATGCACCAATATATTTGATGTGGGATTTGTCAGTGAAAAATGGACATTGAACAATTCTCCTTAGCTAAGTCAGTCACTGAAATAGAGGTCACAACTAGCATCTGAAGAATGCATTGAGAATTTGTGATTCACACCCAAGATGTATCTGACCATACTTACTAATATAATTGATGTTTTATTTTATTCACTATCAATAACAAGAGGCTCTCAAGAGCCTGAAACGCTCACCTGTAATTTTTTGCTTCAATATTTCATCAATGATTATTTTTGCTTTTCAATATATATTAATGATTATGAGTGGCTTAATAATGACATTTAAATGTTCTTTGTATTTGTCATATAAATGCATGTTACCCATATGTTCCATTTTATCCATAGTGATTATGTTTCTTGATGTACAAGGAAATAAAACACAAAATGTATACATGTACTACATTCATTTGAGAAGATTTTTTAAAGTTAGAAAACAAACAACCTCTGTAAAATAGTCAATAAAGGGCAATAACTCCTTATCGGGTCAATTGACGATTTTGGTCATATAAACTCTTTTGTAGATCTTACTTTGCTGAACATTATTGTTCCTTACAGTATATCTATATCTATTATAATATTCAAGATAATAACAAATAAATGTGGATAGTGTCCACATGTGGACACAGATGATGCCCCCGCTTGCATATCATATAGTTATAAAGGGACATAACTGAAGAACAGTAAAAGTGACGATACCCAAATTTGAACTTGATCTGAGTTTTGTGGTAATAAGCATTGTGTGTAAGTCTCATAACATTTGGTTGAGGCTAACTTAAGTAGAGAACAGAAACTAAAAATTCAGCAATTTTTCTATTTGTAAACACGCATAACTCTAGAACGGTTGTGTATAAGTTTTACAACATTTGGTTGAGACAAACTAAAAAATTCAGCAATTTTTATGTTTATAAAGGGACATAACTCTAGAATGGTAAAAGTGTTGCCACCTAATTTCGTACTTAATCTGTATTATGTAGTAATAAGCATTGTGTATAAGTTTCATAACATTTGGTTGAGGCAAACTCAAGTTAGAGAACTGAAACAAAAAAATTGTACTTGATCCTTACTGAGTTTTGTGGTAATGAATATTGTGTATAGGTTTCATAATGTTTGGCTGGGGAAAACTTCAGTTACAGAATGGAAACTAAAAAATTTTGCAATCTTTCTATTTATAAAGGGGCATAACTCAATAATGGTTAAAGTGACACTACCCAAATTCAACTTGATCTGTGTTTTATCAGTGGAAGTCAAAATTAAACATTGCATTGTATAAAGCATTGATTGTAGTTGATTCAACTATAATCATGGTCAAAGGAAGATAACTCCAATTTTAAAAATATATTATATAAACTTGATATTTAGAAGAAATAAAAATTTTGCAATTTTTCCTTTTATAAAGGGGCATAACTCTAGATCGGTTAAAGTGACACCACCAAAATTCAAACTTGATCTGTGTTTTGTGGTAATAAGCATTGTGTATAAGTTTCATAACATTTGGTTGAGGCAAACTTAAGTTAGAGAACGGAAACTAAAAATTTTGCAATATTTCCTTTTATAAAGGGGCATAACTCTAGATCAGTTAAAGTGACGCCACCAAAATTCAAACTTGATCTGTGTTTTGTGGTAATAAGCATTGTGTATAAGTTTCATAACATTTGGTTGAGGCAAACTCAAGTAAGAGAACGGAAACCAATTTCGGGATGTACGGACGGACGTACGTACGTATGTACGTACGTACGTACGTACAGATGGACAAGGGTAAAACTTAATGCCCCCTCCGCTACGGCGGGGGCATAAAAACTGCAAAATTTCCTTAAAATTACTAATTTAGTGGCAGCATCCCAGCATTGGGTTGTTCGATTCATCTGAAAATTTAAGGGGCTGATAGACCAAACAAAATGAACATTTAAACCTCATGTCAGATTTGCTCTAAAAGCTTTAGTTTTTGAGATATAAGCCAAAAACTGCATTTGACCCCTATGTTCTATTTTTAACCATGGCGGCCATGTTTGTTAATAGATCAAAACTTCCGATACCATTTATAAACTAGATACCCTAAGTTACATTCAGTTAAAGTTTGAAGGTATTTGGCCCAGTAGTTTTGGAGGAGAAGATTTTTAGCTCACCTGGCCCAAAGGGCCAAGTGAGCTTTTCTCATCACTTGGCGTCCGTCGTCATCCGTCGTCGTCGTTAACTTTTTACATTTTGAACTTCTTCTAGAGAACCACTGAATGGAATGCAACTAAACATAGCATGAATGTTCCTTATGAGGTGCTGACCAAGTGTTGTTACTTTGAAGTCGATCCATCATCCAAGATGGCCGCCAGCGGGGGACTTAGTTTAACATAGGACCCTATGGGAAATACATACAAATGTCTTCTTTTAGAGAACCACTCAATGGAATGAAACCAAACATGGCATGAGTGTTCCTTATGAGGTGCTGACCAAGTGTTGTTACTTTGAAGCCGATCCATCATCCAAAATGGCCGCCATGGGGGACTTAGTTTAACATAGGACCCTATGGGAAATACATACAAATGTCTTCTTTTAGAGAACCACTGAATGGAATGAAACCAAACATGGCATGAATGTTCCTTATGAGGTGCTGACCAAGTGTTGTTACTTTGAAGTCGATCCATCATCCAAGATGGCTGCCAGCGGGGGACTTATTTTAACATTGGACCCTATGGGAAATACATACAAATGTCTTCTTTTAGAAAACCACTAAATGGAATGAAACCAAACATGGCATGAATGTTCCTTATGAGGTGCTGACCAAGTGTTGTTACTTTGAAGCCGATCCATCATCCAAGATGGCCGCCAGCGGGAGGACTTAGTTTAACATAGGACCCTATGGGAAATATTTACAAATGTCTTCTTTTTGAGAACCACTGAATGGAACGAAACCAAACATGGGATGAATGTTCCTTATGAGGTGCTGACCAAGTGTTGTTACTTTGAAACCAACCCATAATCCAAGATGGCCGCCTGCGGGGGACTTAGTTTAACATAGGACCCTATGGGAAATGTTTACAAATGTCTTCTTTTAGAGAACCACTGAATGGAATGAAACCAAACATGGCATGAATGTTCCTTATGACGTGCTGACCAAAAGTTGTTACTTTGAAGCCGATCCATCATCCAAGATGGCCGCCAGCAGGGGACTTAGTTTAACATAGGACCCTATGGGAAATACATACAAATGTCTTCTTTTAAAAAACCACTGAATGGAATGGAACCAAACATGGCATGAATGTTCCTTATGAAGTGCTAACCAAGTGTTGTTACTTTGAAGCCAATCCATCATCCAAGATGGCCACCAGCTGGGGCTGTGTTTAACAAAGGACCCTATGGACAATACATATAAATGTCTTCTTTTAGAGAACCACTATGAGGTGCTGACTAAGTGTTGTTACTTTGAAGCTGATCCTTCATCCACGATGGCCGCCAGCGGGAGGACTTCCTTTAACATAAGACCCTATTGGAAATACATAAAAATGCTTTTTCTAGAGGTGCACTGAATGGAATGAAACCAAACATGGCATAAATGTTTCTTATGAGGTGCTGATGAAGTGTTGCTACTTTGTTGCTGATTTACTGTTCAAGATGGCCACCAGGATTTTTTATTAAATTACAGGGCCAATATTAAATTAAATTTGGCCTCACTCATTATTAGGGTATCTGTTATGATTTTAATCTATTTTAACATGATTTCCAAAACCAAAGTAGAATCAGGTGAGCGACACAGGCTCTTGAGAGCCTCTAGTTTAAATAGTTTACAACGACAGATGATGACGGCGATGACAGAAGACGGACGACAAAGGACGCCAAGTGATGGCATAAGCTCACATGGGGCCCTTTGGGCCCTGTTGAGCTATAAAATGAATCCACAAACACATTTTTTGAGAGTTCTCTAGTGATGACTTTTGTACAAATCTTTTGTTAAAGCTATTAGGTTTACCAAGCAATGTGTTACTGTAATTTGAATTTTAAAATGACTGAGTGACGTTTTTTTGACATACTGGTCAACTCCACGGTAGAATCACGTTGACTTTGACATAACCAATTATATTTTACACGGTAATTACAAGCAAATAATATCTTTACAAGTAATGAATGTCGCATAACATGTACAGGAAATTACAAGTCAACTACATCTAGTCTGATTAATCATTTCACAGTCTTAATTAACAAACACAAAGTGCAAGTAAAGGTACGCCCTCTACGCCCCCCTCTGGATCCACTTTCTTATGAGGTAAGCTCTATTTCAGTTAATTTTTAAGACAACCCTTAATTAGGCTTACAATTTTAATTTTTTACCATAAATCAATTTATCTATTATTGTGCATCTTTTTTTTTTAATGTAAAACAGGAAATATTTTAGAATAAACTTATAATTTACATGTCTTTCCAAAACAAAGTATAAACTGACTAATGCTTATAAAGTGTCCTAGAATTATTACCTTTTGAATGCTTATAGTATCATGAGTATAACTGTAAGCTATTTTAGAACAAATTTGGAATTTACATGTCTTTCCAAAACAAAGTAACTAATGGCTTATGATGAAATTTCCTAGCTTTATTACTTTTTGAATACTTATAATAGAACTGTAAGCTATTTCAGAACAAATTCCTTTCATAAACAAAGTTAATTGCAAATGCTTTAATTTTCCAAGAATAATTACCTTTTAATACTTAAAGTATAAATGTAAGAATAAGTAACACATGCAAAGACATATCTGGTGAAAGACACTTCAGGTATTTTTCATTGCAAAAACATTTTTCAGATTTTTTAAAAATTTATTCAAGTTCAACATTGTATGACATTGTTAAAGTTGTGTATTCTTATTTCATTGTGTTAAATTGGCTTCATCTACTTAACTCTGCTTAGGCCTTTTAACTGCAAATAATAACACTTAATTCTCATTTCTATATAATACATTAACACTGTTATTTACATATAAATTTATGCTTTTAAAATAGTAAATAAATCTATATGTTAATGTACCGGTACATGTCCATCAACTTTTTTTATTAGAGTGTCACTGAGGCCAAAAAAAAATATATGTCTGTAAAAAATAGGGTAGGTAGGTCGGTATTTCTATTTTATTTTATTTTTTGTGACATGATTTTGAGTCATGCGGTTTCGTCTTGTCGTGGTCCGAGTTGATCATGGGCCGAGTTTACCCGTATTTTTTATGATTGGATTATTTCCCTTGGTTATTAGTTGGAAAAAAATGGCGGCAAAGTGTTTATTTCATCACACGAGTCACGAATTTCCTTAAAACAGCTATCATATTCACGATTGTGAACATTGGGATTGATCAGGCAATTGATTTATATAATTGGCAACACTAACTTCACTTTTGACATGAGTTCAGTTTATTTTTCACTTTACGATGGAAATAAAATGGCTTAGGGTCGAAGCTCAAAATAGGGTCGGTCGGGTAACTGTAAACAGACATATATTTTTTTTTGGCCTGATGAGTCTTTTGTAGATAAAACATGTCTCTGGCGAATAAAACTTTAATCCTGGTATCTATGATGAGTTTATTTATGGTTTTGATATTTATATATATATATATATATATATATATATAAAAGCAGGAAATATTTTAGAACAAACTGGTATTGTACATTTTTTTCTAACAGGATGTCACAGTTTTAGAGTTTTACTTCCCTTGAATTATAAAAAAATATTTCAGATAACTTTTCAGACAAAAAATTATATTTGCTAATGTACATCATTGTATGACATTAAATTTCATTGAAATTTTATAAGATCTCATTTCTTTTCAGCAAAACCTATCAAATGATAACTGAAATTGGTTGTGCTCACAAAGTGTATAGATAAGTTAATGTAAAGTAAGAAGACAGACTGATAGGTATGTTAATCCACAAAATAATAGCATAGCAATGTCAAATTGTCCAGTTATATGTATTTTCCTGGAAATAGAAATACTTTTCAAACAAATTATATTCAATGCCACTGATTTATCTGTCAGATCAAAATTTTGGTTATAAATTATCCTGAATCTACATCAATAAATACCCTTTCATATTTTCGAAGGGGTCAAAGTAAAACAAATGCTTGGAAATCATAGGAAATTTCGTATTATAATACATGCAATGCCTTTTTATTAACTGTAAACCATACAATTGACAATAGTATACAAAACACAACCTAGAAACTAAAGAGTGAGCAATATGAACACCCCCCCCCCCCCCCACCAAAAAAAAATGGATTGCTCTCAGGTGCTCTGGAGAGGTAAGCAGATCCTGCTCAACAATGTTGCTGATGGCTTCAAAATTGTAATATGCATAACAGTAATAGGAATATCAAAGCAAATGTTATTGGTTGAATTTTATGATAATGGATCACCTGAATTCATCCTCAGTTTTTGGTACAGAACATGTAACTCAATCTTAAACACTCAGATAGCATTTTTGTTGACTGTTATTTGTATATTTTTATTTATCAATTTTGGTCATGGTGTTGTCTGTTTTTCTCACACTATTTCATTGCGCCTTTGTATTACATTTGTCTTTTTATACAATGTAAAAATAAGTCAAACTAACCTCAGAAGATTATGTCCTATGTTTGATAATTCTTCAGCTAATGCTACCAATATTCTATCTGCCATTTCATTATTCTTTTTGCACAGAAATTTCAGCACCTTCAAATACTTAAAATATAAAAAAGAAAGTTTTTATCTAAATTTCAGGGTTTCTGATCTGTAATTATGATACTGATTGCCGATTGTGATATTTTTACTGTGTATGAATTAAATTGCATGGCCAGTGATGTGCGCATAGCAAAAAATCAAATCACAAAAATACTGAACTCAGAGGAAAATTCAAAACGGAAAGTCCTTAATCAAATGGCAAAATCAAAAGCTCAAACACATCAAACGAATGAATAACAACTGTCATATTCCTGACTTGGTACAGGCATTTTCTTATGTAGAAAATAGTGGATTAAACCTGGTTTTTAAGCTAGCTAAACCTCTCACTTGTATGACAGTCACATCAAATTCCATTACATTGACAACAGTGTGTGAACAAAACAAACACAATAGGTAAAAGTGTCACAAATACAAGAGACGATTTCTGTATCATTTGGTCTCTTTTGGAGAGTTGTTTCATTGGCAATCATACCACATCTTCTTATTTTTTATATGTACAGATTTTATCATTTCAATTACCATAGATTCTTTGAGATCTTCTTTCCTGACCATCTGAATCAATTGTTCAAATAATTTTGGAAAATGTGTCAGTAAATTGTCACAGGTTTCACAGTATCCTCCCTGTAATAGAAAAAATAGAAACAATTTTATCGGTACATTCTTTTGGAAATAATGTTGCTATACAATAATGTAAAATGCATGACATTTTATGTAGTTTACATTCTGAATTTTAACTTTGTATTTAAATTCTAAGTATGCAATTAAGTGAGTGCATTATTGTAGTAAATTAGGCAATTTTTTTTAATATACATGAACTCAAGTCTTGCAACTCTAGGCTACAACTTGAAATTCTAAAATAATTCAAAAAGATGCTCAGAACAGTCAGATAACATTATGAAAAATGAGTAAAACATATAATTGTCCAAAGTTTGAAATAAATTGTGGACATTAAAAAATCAGCATGTGATTTACCCCTGTTCACCTCTTAAATTAATCAAAGGTCCTTTCAAAGACGATGATTGAATGTTGATGCTTAATGCCCAAACTGCACCAAAATATTATCTTAAGAACATGCAAGGGACAACATGAAATGAATATGAAAATAGCAGGGGTTGCGATGGGACTCAAAAGGAAATAGAATTTTAACTTCAACAACAAATATTCTGTTGATTTGGCTTCTGGTAAGCAAAACCCTATGATAGAGATTGTTTTGACCTCAAATAGCATGTTTAGGGAACATCTAAAAGTAATTATAATGTTTCAGATTTTGTAAGATCAAACTGTATTTTAATAGATATAGGAAGATGTGGTATGAGTGCCAATGAGACAACTCTCCATCCAAGTTACAATTTATAAAAGTAAACCATTATAGGTCAAGGTACGGCCTTCAACACGGAGCATTGGCTCACACCGAACAGCAAGCTATAAAGGGCCCCAAAAAATTACTAGTGTAAAACCATTCAAACGGAAAAACCAACGGTCTAATCTATATAAAAATGAGAACCGAGAAACACGTATGAACTAAATAAACAGACGACAACAACTGTAATCATTTAACCGTTATTAATCATACTAAAAAAAAATATTATCAGGAACTAAATCAACAGTATCCTAAAATATCATACGCATTCCCTTGCTCAAATTCAAACTGAACTACCCTTGAACTTGCAAACATTAGATTACTAAGTTACATGTTAGGGTGTTTTAAGTTGAGTATAGTGTTTTCATGTTGAGTATTTTTCTTCTTAGTAATCATTGATTTACTAATCATCCACCTGGTGGCAATATATGTGAAGTTAAAGGTCTGTTTGTTAATTATTCCTTATTCCTTATTTGATATTCTATCTCTATCTGGCCACTAGTCCCTTAATTGTCATAAATTTTTAAACTGTTTTTATGGGTTATATTTCAGCAATCTTCCATCAATGTAACAGTAACAGGCACAGTGCATTCTATTGAAAATGTGCTATCTTTTTTGTAATAGCCTAAATAGGTAGTGTTGTGCACCGCACAGAACATTATAATACAGAATAAACATGGAATTTTTTAAACATTTCAAACACAATAATTCCAAGTTGAAATAATAGCCTGTTCAGAATAAAATTATCATTTTACAAACATGATTACTCCAGAAAGGTTTTTAAATCAAAGAGCTGAAAGCTCTGGGGAAAAATGACGCCACTGTCTCTAATATTGGAATATTTTTTATGCAAGTCTTGATTTTCACATAATTAGTTAAACACTGAAACATGTCTCGTAAGCATATAATTGATATTCCTATGTGTGTGTGTGAAGTGAAGATGACATCTGGCTGTTTTTTTGTACATATAAATAGGTCAAGACTATTTGAATGATCTACAATATCCAATGACTACTGGCTGTTCGTTTGTACTTATAAATAGGTCAAGACTATTTGAATGTTCTACAATATCCAATGACTGCTGGCTGTTCTTTTGTACTAATAAATAGGTCAAGACTACCTGAATTATCTACAATATTCTAAGTAATGTGATTTTTTTCTTGCAATTACATTTTTCTAAATCAAGAATACATTTACAGACTATCCTATTATTTGTAGAATTGCTTATAAACAAAATGATTATGAAGAGCCTGTAGTAAGCAAGCTCTTATACCCCACATACACATTAAATAAGTTACTAGTGACCTAGTTATTTCTGTTACTTGAAGCAAGTTCTATTTCTGTAGATTTAGACAATAGTATAATATTGTTTTACTAGTTTAATTTCACCTTGAAGATTAGACAAATAGGGATATTCCTTCCATTTTTTATTTCATGTCAGTCAGGTGGCTTTATATGAAACTTGAAACCACTTCTCTGCCATATTGTTATTTTATAATTACTCTGCCCTTGACCCATATAATTGATATTGATTCTTTAACCATATTATATCATAGTCATACATCATGAGGTAGTATTTGATTTTGCACTCCCACACCATCTTTCAGGTCAAATGTCTGTCTCCATTTGAGTTAATGACATTGAACCATCATGGTATTAAACACAATTTCAATAGTGATAATGCTGTTCTCGTGGGTCACCATATATTCAACTTGGGTAGCATTCCAGTTATTGAAATTTGTGTCAGTTTAGAACAATGATCTAGACCTTTAGGAATGGATCTTATAATTAAATATGGAGCCATAGTATGGTACTTAACCCTACACGGTAACAAACATAAATAAGCTTGAAAGGATACAATGTCAAGCGTCAAGATTTATCACCAGAGATTACAAGTCAAGAGAGGACAGATGTGTTTCCAAAATGCTTGCCCAACTGGAACTACAAGATCTCCAGACAAGACGAACACGCCAGAAGTTAATATTCATGTACAAAGTGGTTGAGGGGCTGATTCCCGCTGTTGAACCAGACAAATTCCTCAAAAAAGCACGTCCAAAGAGAACCATAACTGCCAAGAAATTCGAAGAATACCACGCAACAAATATTGTGGAAAAGCAAGTGAAGAATAACTCTAAGTGTTTTGACATTCCACCAAGTAAAGAATTCTAGTCAAATCGGCATCTAGTTAAATGGGTGCCGATTTGACCAGATCAGTGCCGATTTAACTAGGTGCCAAATTGACTTTTTCTATGGGTGCCGATTCATACGCACCGCGTGGGTATAACCGTATTACTAATTTCCGATTCTTAAAAACTTCGTAAATCTTGATAAAGACCATTATCTATCCAATGGATATCAAGATGATTCCGATTATTACTTTTTTAATGATTGTAAAGTTGAAATGGCAAGAAAGGTTGACATTATTTAGGAGAACTATTTTGTCTAGCGATTGCTGATCATTGGAGTGTGAAAAGTCCAAAACCACACTGCATGGGTTTAACCGTATTACTAATTTCCGATTCTTTAAAAGTTCATAAATCTTGATCATTGAAAGACCATTATCTATCTAATGGATATCAAGATGATTCCGATTATTACTTTTTTAATGATTTTAAAGTTCATATGGCAAAACGTTTGACATTATTTAGGAGAACTATTTTGTCTAGCGATTGCTGATCATTGGAATGTGAAAAGTCCAGAACCATAACAAAACGGATCTATTTATAAATACCCATTTGTTTACGATTGTAAGACATGTACATATATATAAAAGCGAAAGCTGTAATACATTTGAAAAATATAACAAAGGGATAGCTCAAAATACCATTTAATAACAATTAATATATGGACAGGTCAAGATGTTTTTTTTCTGTATATAAATAAAGTATGTACACTCAGGTTCCCGGGTGACTACTACACTTTGTTCGAGTGTAGCGTAATACAAGCAGATTCAAGTTAGTATGTAAAATAGTAAATACGAAACCGAGTGTGGAAGGCGGGTCGGAAGAAATATAATCAACTTCCGTAAGTTCTGGTCAATGGTAAAGGAAACATGATGCTGATAGCGTCATTTTCCAAAAAAAAAAAAAACAGACTGACGATAACTTGTCGATGTTTAGTCAGTGCAAAGAACATGCAAGGGATAATATAAATGAGTATGCAACTAACAGAGTTTGGGATTGGACATCTAAATTGAGAAAGACAAGTGAAATAAAAAATAAACTGACAACACCATGACTTAAAAAGAAAAAGACCAACAGACACACAATAGCTCACAAAACATGGAAATATGGTCTTTGAGCATATATATGTGTTGCCCTAGTGGACCCTTTCTTCATGAATAATACTATTATTCTTAGATTCACGATTATGATTGTTTTATCTTCCTACTTAATATTTTTGGGATAAAAGGAAGTTGATTCTATCAGATTTTGTAATTCCAAACTGTGTTTAAGAATTGATTTTCCTATAACACTCACTGGTCATTCTTCAACAAATTGCAAGTAGAGCTAAAGGCAGGTATTTTCAACTATTCCATATATTTTCCTTGTTTCAGTAAATTTGTCAAATCCGTATGAAATTTGAAACAATTGACAAAATTTCTGTCACAAGGAAAATTAATGCCTATGAAATTATATATAGACACAACAGGAAGATGTTCTTGAACAATATTTTAATAGAAAGGGATATCATATTTTCCAAAATTCAAAATAAAACAATTATGATTATTTCCTGCTAACATAATTCATAACGAAACCTTTTTTTTTTAATTTTCCGTTGATAAGATTAGAAATGATTAAGCTGAAACTAAGGTTTCAACTTCATGAGGTAAAGTTGACCTAAGATGGATTTGGCTATTATTTTAGGTTCTCATTGGTCAAAAGCAGATCAACTGTTTTGGAACTTATACATCCTTGGCTTTCAAATAATCAGCATTGAGCATTCCTGATGAAATATAATCCAGTGAAAGGGCTTCGGACGCATAAAATTTATTAAGTGTTGTTTCATTTTTTTTTGTCTCGCTGTGTAAATACAATATAAACTTTCCACCAGATGAAAACTATGAATGTAATGAAGATTTTCATATTTCAGTGTTAATGGATAATCAGTTTTGTATTAAGAAAGGTTAAAAAATTGTGCTAATCAATCTTATCATTATGACATAAAAAATATATGTACACTGAGCAAATGAAATTCACTTCCAATGTATGCTGGAAACCCTTTAACAGTATACATTGATACCTTTTCATATAATTGTTCT